TTGCTCATTTTTCATTTTCATTCTCTGTTCTTTGGAAAGCATATCTCTCTTACTCTATCTGCCAGTTGGCTGACAATTTCTTCTGCCAATTCAAATCTACTATTGAACCCCTTTCGTGCATTTTTTCCTTGTCATAGTTTTTAACTTCATGAATTTAGCTCTTGCCACTTGGAGCTGCAGGGGATAAGAAACGCTGGCATCTTGCCCCTCCCTGTGAGGTACCATACCTCTGGACAGGGAGCTGAGGGAGACGGAGCTCTGTTTTCTTGGCTGCACCCACTGAAATGGGAGGGAGGGGGGGAGTGTGTTGTGGCTGAAGAGTCTGACTCACTGTTCTTACCAAGATTTGGATTTCCTTGAATAAGTGTTACTTTATTCTACATGCTTTTAGGATAATTTTCAGTACATTAAGTGTTTGTGTCTCTCTGTATAAGAGGAAGGTGTTTATTTTTTGTTCCAATTTTCACCAGTTAAAGCTAATTCCTAGGACAGGGGGTCCAGAGGGCCCTTCACATTGCCATTCTGGAAGTGAAAGTCTAAAGGATATCTCAATGTTAGAAAATTTAACTGTGTACTTTACTACACTAAGAAAAGCTATACAGTTATATCAATATATACCAGAAAAGACTTTGAGGACAATCATTCTACCATGTGTGATAACCAATTATGACACCACAATGATAAAAACAGTGGGTTACTAGCAAAGTTAGATAAATGGACCAATTTAACAGAATGCAGAGCCAAGAAACATTTCCATAATTATATGTAAATTGGTAAAGGTGGCATTATACATCAGGAGGAAAATAATAAACTATTTGTTAAAGGTGGTAGGGAAACTAGTCATCCATATGGAATTAATAATTTATGAGAATGTATTCATGACCTTAGCTAGGGAATGGTTCTTAAAGAAACAAAAAAAATGGAAAGACTGAATTTACTGTATTTTAAAACTTCCATATGATAAACATCACAAAGTAGATATGAGAATATGCTAATTCTCCATATTTTTATATAAAAGTTAAAAGACTCACAACCAAAACTAAAAATCTGTAAAACACCTAGGAATAAGCCTATTATGAAATGTGCAAGAGATTTATGATGAAAGTTATTAAAATTTCATCCAAGAATATAAAAGACTTTAATAAAATGAGGCCTATCATAATACTAATCAGAAACACTATATTAATTATAAAGAAGTCTTTTATTCTTAAATTAATGTGGAAAGAAATGCAACCCTAGTCAAAAGAACACCACAATTTTACTGGAATTTAATAAACTAATTCTTGATTCAGCTGGAACAGAAAACACCCAAGAATAAGACACTGAAGAGGGGGAGAAAGGAAAAGCAACTTGCCCATGAATGGCAAAACACAATGCAAAGCACCAAATGACAGCATGAGGAGTGTGGTTGGTAGAACCAACACCTGGATCCACGGGTCAGAAATAGACAACTTAGCATGTGATGAGTTGAAAGCTGACATTTTAAACTGGTGGAGAAAAGAATATTTGTTGATCATTGGAATAACTGCCTTTTTGTTTTTGTTTAGGGGAACAATCCTAAAAGATAAACAACCCACAGGAAAACTAGGCAAATATAACACAAATAGGCAAAGTATGGTAGAGATCTACAAATGGCCAATAACACGCAAATGTTTGATTTTATAAGTAATCAGGGAAATTCAAGTGAAAAAAAGGTACTTTCAATCATGAGATTGGTTAAAACAAAACAAAACAACCTACCGATATTGATACCACTTACTGTTGGCAAGGGTTTGGAGAAATGGGTCCTTTTATGGAGGGTGAATTGAAGCAAGCAATTTTGTTACATCAACTGACATTTAAAATCTACATAATCCAACAATTCTATGCAGGCAGAGCTATACTTACAGGAATAGAAATGTCTTGCACATAATATTAAATGAAAAGTTAGTTGCAAAATAAGGATGGCATCACCCCATTAATATAAATTACATATTTAAAGCAAACTGGTTGCTGTAATAGACTTCAAAAGACAGTAGTTTAAGCAAGTCAGTATTTTATTTTACTCTTAAATAGCAAGTCAAAGGAGAACAGTTCAAGACTGGCAGGCCAACTTCTCCTTCCTCAACACATGACTTCCATCTCTTGAGAAGCCAGGTCACTACTGAAGCTCCCATTGGCCTCCCAGCCAGCAAGAAAGGGGAATGTCAAGGAGAGTGCATACCCTGCTTCTTTATTTAAAGGGCCAATTTGGAAGTTTAAAACTTAGTCATATGGCCACAATTAACTTTAAGGGACGCTGAGTAGTAGTCTTAAGCTGAGCCGCCAGACGTCCAGGTAAAACTCGAAATTTTATTAGTAAAGGAAGAATGAGAAAATGACATTATAGCAGCAGTCCGTGTCATGTGATTCTCTAAATGCATGGAGAAGACACACCAAACATAGGACTGTACTTAGCTGTGGAACAGGTGCAAGATGGTGTGGGGGTGGGGAGGCAGACTATTGCTTGACCATTTTTAATGGTGATGGTATTAACATATTTAATTTTTTGACAAAATTTTAAAATCCTTTATTTGTGCTGATAAAGCATGTTAAATACATTAAATCTACACTGTACAAAGCTTTTAAAGTTCCAAAAATTAGATTTTTATTTAAATGAATAAATTTCTCTACATTGTTAAAACCATTCTACTTACTGCATTGTTCTCCAAGTCCCTCCATCCAGGAGGCATGATGACAATGTGTGCAGATCTCCTCACTGAGACACCACCTTCCCAAGATCATGGTACGTCAGAAAAACTGAGACAAGAACTGGAACAAGGACCACCTTGCTCCTACTGCATTATAGCTTTTGACAGTATTTGTTACTTGAAGAGAAGGCTATACCTTGTCTAGCTCAATACAGTTTATGTTTCAGACACTATAAATGTGATGCCCAAATGCTTCATATGAGTGAACAAGGTCAGCAGATCACCCTGAGAACAAGGAAGACACAATTTCCTTATAGGCTAATGATTATAAAAATAGAAATTAAGAGCTCCCCAGAAACAAACCACTTAGTCAAAAAGGAAAGAGTTTTGACTTCCTTCTAAACCAAGTATTCAAGTTTAAGACTTATTGGCCTGTTTAAAAATTCCTTCTATGACTTCTCAACAATGATGGCAAAGTGACAAAAATAATGTAATCATCATCTTCCCTCATTATATATAAACCAAACTAAAAACCAAAGAAATGAACAAGCTATAATCCAAAAAAACTAGAAAATCCTGGCAGGAATCATAAAGAACATCTCTAAGAAAAGGATTCTTGGCTTAAGCAAAATATTAGAGCAGAGAAAGCAAAACTCATGTCCTCTCATGCAGTCCAGCAAGGCTCCTCCTGCCCAGGACCCTCCTGTCTGAGTCACAGGGACAAGCAGACAGAAGATCTGGACACAGCTATCCATGTTAAGCATGAGCGAGATGTAAAGAAACAGCACGGCAGGAGGGCAGGTATACTACAGAAAATGAGAGAGGAAAAGAGCAGACCAGAGAACACAAATCCAAGAAACAAACTGCACTGAGATAGCTACAGAAGAAATTCAAGGAATACAATGAATTTCAGAAAACAACACTTCAAAGATGAGATGATAAAATCATCCTGAGAAGGAAACAAGAAAAACACAGGTAAGAAAATAAATTGGGCTGGGCGCGGTGGCTCACACCTGTAATCCCAGCACTTCAGGAGGCCGAGGCGGGCGGATCACGAGGTCAGGAGATCGAGACCATCTTGGCTAACACAGTGAAACCCCGTCTCTACTAAAAATATAAAAAATTAGCCGGGTGTGGTGGCGGGCACCTGTAGTCCCAGGTACTCGGGAGGCTGAGGCAGGAGAATGATGTGAACCCGGGAGACGGAGCTTGCAGTGAGCAGAGATCACGCCACTGCACTCCAGCCTGGGCGACAGAGCGAGACTCCATCTCAAAAAAAAAAAAAAGAAAAGAAACTGAGGATCAAAGCAACACCATCACAGAACCATAAACACATAAACAGTAGCGAGATACAAACAGCCTTGGCTGGAATCCAAACCACAGAAACAGGAAAGGAATGCAAAGGCAGGCGCAAGACAAAGGCAACTGGAGAGAAGACAGCCTGCCAGCCTGCAGATAAGAGAGGTCTGGAGGGGTGTCACTTCATAGTAATAACAGCTGGGTCTGCTGTGGGCTGCAGTGATGTTTGTGTGCATGCACATGTGTGGTTTTTATATACCTACTTTTGGCTTTAATTGGATTTTTTTTTTAATAACACATTTTGTGACTGTAGGAGGGAAAAAGATGCCCTTTTGTGACTGTAGAAGGGAAAAAGATGCCCTCTGCTTAAAGGAAAGCCAGGGTAAACTGAATACCCTACAACTTTCCACAAATACATGTCTTATCATTTATTAACAAACTGTTTCATGCTTTACTAATAAAAATACCCACCAATTTGCCAGTACCTTGAAAAAGGATCTTTTCAAGAAAATTAACATAATTATCAAACAACAAATAACAAACCTGACCTTTGTGGGTGGCAAACAGTAAATTTAAATGTTTAAAGGTTATGCATCAAAATAATGCTGTTATCAGATATTGATGAACTTATTGAACAGGTTTGACTGAATATAAAACCTGTTTTTAGCACCAATAAAAAAAATTATTGAGATTTCTGTTCTGCAAACTTCTAACTGTGCTCCCTGACAGCATCTTTTGGGTAAAGGAACAAATGTGCTCCAAGGAGTAACCGTTAGGTCCCTGATTTTTTAACATAATTCAGAGTGCCAAAAAAAAAAAAAACATCAATCCAAGTATTTTCTCCCTTAGCTAGCAGCGCCTGTAGTCCCAGCTACTCGGGAGGCTGAGGCAGGAGAATGGTGGGAACCCGGGAGGCGGAGCTTGTAGTGAGCTGAGATCTGGCCACTGCACTCCAGCCTGGGCGGCAGAGCGAGACTCCGCCTAAAAAAAAAAAAAAAAAAAAAAAAAAACTTTTTAACTTTCAGAGAAGAGTTTCGTCTTCTTAAAGTTTTAATTCTGAGGTAGATGTCATGCAAACAAACATCAAGTGCAGCCAACTTCCATTGACAAACATGATTATTAATAATAATAATCAGAAATGCCCATTAGAAAAAGTGACTTGAAAGTTTAGGAAGCAATGTTGTTTAGCAGTATTCTGGCTTGAGTTTCCAAATTCCTTCACCACCAGAAGTTCTATGAAAAGTGCACAGATTTCTCAATAGTTCTCGGAAGACACAAGACTGCGAGGCAGATAACTTGGATTCAAACTCCTGTAGTATCTCCCTAGTGCTGGCCTGGCCATCAGTGTGGGCCTGGAAAGCGATGAAGTTTCTCATCTCCACCAGAAGGTCATCATGTTCTGTGGTGGGAAGCAGGGCAGAAGCTTCCTGCAGGTGCCCGCTTTCACTTTCTAAACGCTCTGGCAGAATCAGGTGGTTTCTAGCTCTCATTTTAGCCAAGAGTGAGGAGGAAGCGAGGGCCCCGGACGAAGAGTTTGCATCTTCTGCTCTTCCACTAAAATGCTCAGGGACATTATCTTTTCCCTCCTTTTTCATGATGCCATCCTGGAAAAAGAAGACCACTATATTGATATATTTAATCTCTAGTTTATGCCCCCACTTCCTTCCCCAAAAGCTGTGAGGGGTCACCAGACAACACATGTGCCAGGGTGGTGAGGTTGACGGGGTAAGACTGAGACTCCACCTAATGAAAAGGGAAAGGAGGAGGGTCCGATATCTAAATCCTCCCACTGCTAAGAGACCATTTCCTAAAAAAAAAAAAAAAATTAAAAGGGGGGCAACCAAGCCATTCCCTTAGTCGCCACTCTGCATGGTGGTGGAAGGGAAGGCAGAGTGGAGGTTTCCAGGCAAGGTTTCAGGAAAATCTGTCTCTAGGAGGCCCAGGACCACTTTCAGTGCCTGTGGGCTTTTCCTATTCTTCCTCTCAAATGGACCCTGACCTGTACACTGTGGATAAGGAACAGTATCATAGCTATACTTCTTTTTCCTCACTTTTAAATCTTCTTACTCTTTCCTACCTTACATCTAATGCAAGTTTCCTTAAAAAAACACAAATCTAACTCTGAAAGGGTCTCAAATCCCTACTGCTAAAAGCACAGAACATGGGAAGTCAAAAAGGTACTCATATTCCTAAACACGTTCATATTAACTTAAAATTGGAGTCTGAATCTGGGAGTTTTAACATAATCCTTAATCAGAAAAACCAGAAAGACTTCCACTGAATGGTGGAGTCTGGACTAGTTTTAACCACTGTAGCACTCAAGGCAAGCAGGGCATTCTTGAACAGAGAAAGACAAGCACTCTGCTCTAGAGCTGGTGAGTTACAGACACCAACATTCAAGGCAGTTTTCTGGACCTTTATTTCAGAGGGTTGTGGTCTCTGGAGCTGGCACTTCCCCTCTAGACAAGGCAGGCTGTCCTAGCAGCGACACATCCATCCCTGTGTCAACCTTCTAATGGCAAAACAGAAATGCTGCTACGGATCTTGGGTTAAAGACTTTGTCTTTAGGAAATCAGCAGGTCCTTTTAGATTCAAGTGAATGTGCATTGTAAATCAGAGCATGCAACACAAATATCAGGTGTCATTACACCAGAGATAACCATTTTCTTCACACCCAAAATCAGGTGAAATTTTTATGGCATTCAATCAAGCAAATCTCACCCTGGAAAGCAAAAAGGTTATCTATATTACCTGGCACTTCTCTGTTGGAGATGTCGATGAAGAATGCTGCACAGAGAAGTTAGAATTCCTTTTCTTACCAAATCTACTCCTAAAGAAGGAAAAGAATCACAGTAGATTAAATGTTTGCTTTTGAGACTCAGAGATCAAAATACTCTTTCAACAATGAACTTCTTCCTGGAAACATTTCCATCTGCATGGTTATTCTTTCACAGCCACGCCATTTCTGCTCTATCCCCCTTGACTCTTCCACACCAACCTCCTAGAAAGTAACTGCTGGCCGGGTGCAGAGGCTCATGCCTGTAATCCCAACACTTTAGGACGCCGAGGCGGGCAGATCACCTGAGGTCAGGAGCTCGAGACTAGCCTGGCCAACATGGTGAAATCCCATCTTTACTCAAAACACACAAATTAGCATGGCATGGTGGCGGAAGCCTGTAATCCCAACTATTCGGGAGGCGGAGGCTGCAGTGGGCTGAGATCACACCACCGCACTCCAGCCCGGGTGACAGGGTGAGACTCCGTCTCCAAAAAAAAAAAAAAAAAAAGGAACTGCTGCATCTCAGAATGAGAACCACTCAGTTTCTTGTTCAAAAGATGATGGGAACCATTCTCAATTCCAGGTAGGAAAATCATTCTAAAAGAGCATACTGAATAACAAAGTAATTAATGTGTGTTGTAAATTGGCTAATTATCTCATTAAAGTTTAATCATTATCCTGTATCTCTTACTATTTTTAACAACACCATCTCTCAAATAAAACCAACCACTTCTCCTGAAGCCACTTTGGAAAACAGGGGATGAAAGCAAGTAGGAAGGCAAAGTTGTAACAGTATTTCTACAAGTCACCCAGATTTCGCTGCTATAATCTTTCCATGAGGGATTTATTCCTGAAGAGAAATAACAACATAAGCCTCCACACCTGATTTTATTTCTAGCCTTAGTTGTTTGGCCTCCTTGCAAGTATGGCATGCAGCAATCTCTTACTTTGTTCCTGCTGGTGCACCAGAAATCCCCCTGTGGCCAGTCCAGGTGGGAACACCAGACACTGCTCCCAGACACCGCTGACGAGAGAGCCTCAGTGCTTTCAAGGCATCCTGAGCCACTCGGTTGGCTTCTGCTTCCACCAGTACATAATCTGGGCTGGCTCCATCCATGATGGCATCGTGCTTCATGACACTGTGCACACCAACTAGCAAGAAAAGAAACAGCAAAGTGATATTTCACTTTGTACGCAAGAAAGACACTTTTCTCCTCTATATAAGTACAATATTGTGGTAGACAAAAAACAAAGTCATAGTACACTTAGAAAACCCTAGAGAATCAATGATAAAAAATAGTAAAATAACTCAGGCAACATAAAAAAATAAAATTCACATACAGAAACCTGTAACGTTCCTATTTACAAACAATAGCCAGCTAAAGATAAAATGGTACGAAAATTCTACTTACAGTAACAGAAAAGACAAAACACTTAGGAATAAACCCAAGCAATGTGTAAAGCTTGTGTGGAGAAGACATGAAAACACTCCTGGGAAGAGAGACTATCAGACTTAAACAAACAGAAAGATATCCCTTGCATTTGAGAAGAATGACTCAATAACCATTTTCCCTGAGTTAATTTATATGTTTAATGCAATCTCAATAAAAATATCAAGATTTCTTATGAAGTTAGACAAACTGATATTAAAGTTCATATAGAAAAATAAACCTTCATGAATAGATCAGAAAACACTGAAAAGGCAAAGTGACACCCTATTGGACAATAAAACATGCTCCATTTACAACAGTTTGGTGCTGAGGAAGGAAGAGACACAACAGGAGATTGACCAGAAACTAGAAATAGATCGAACTACATTTGGAAATGTATTACATGATAAAGGCATCTCTAATCACTGAGAAAAACATATTTGAAATAAATGATGCTACAAACATTGGGGCACAAATGTTGGGGCATTTTATCTTTGAACCAAGATAAAATCCACACCTCATACTCTAAATGGATCAGAAATCTGAATGTAAAAAGCAAAACCATACAAGTAGTACAAGAAAACATGGTGAATTATCATGTGATCTATGTGTAGAAAAGGCTTAGAACTACAATTCCAATTAATAAAAGACTGACAAGTGTTTTTAGGAAAAAAAAACCTGTTTCATAGGAAAAAAATTATCATAAGTAATAAAAGACAACCAATGAGGAAATACTTGTAACATATATGAAAAATGAAAAGTTAACATCCCTAATATATAAAGAACTCTTTAAAACCAAGGGGGAAAAGGGACCAAAAATCTGATTTAGAAAATGGACAAAAGATATGAACAGACAAACTCACATAAAGAAAAATTTTTTAAATATAAATGGTCCTATAAAAAGCTCAATTTCACTCAAAGAAAATAACTGCAAATTAAAACTTAATATATCTTTTCTCACCTATCAGACTGGGAAAAATTAAAAGTAACTATAACACCACACTCTTGACAAGGCTCTGGGGAACAATTGCTGGTGACAATTCAAATTGATCTAAACCTTACAAAAGGGAGTTGGGCATTATTCAAACAAAGAAACAAAACAACCTTACATATGTGTTCACCTTTTGATCTAGCAATCTCTCTTGTACAAGCACAGGATTATTTAGTGCAGCATTGTGGCTGAAAGAAGCTATAAACAATCTAAATCCTCATATGTGGATAAACTGTGGTACAGGTTTAATATCTCTTAACCAAAATTCCTGGGACCAGAAGTGTTTCAAATTTTCACTTTTTTGGAATTTGGAATAATTGCATATACAAAATGAGACATCTTGGGGATGGGCCCCAAGTCTAAACACAAAATGTGTGTATTTTTAACATACACCTTACACACATAGCCTGAAGGTAATTTTAATATAATACATTTATCAATTTTGTGCAAGAAACAAAGTGTTAACTGTGTTTTGACTGTGACCCATCACATGAAGTCAGGTGTGGAATTTTCCACATCTGGCATCATGTCAGTGCACAAAAGGTTTTGATTTTTGAGCATTTTAGATTTTGGGTTTTGGGTCAACATAGCAGAGCACTCTAGCAATAAAAATTGCTAAAGGAGGAATAGCTCTCTGTTAACTAATACAGGAGTGGCTGTAAAGATATATGAAGTTTTTTAAAAAAAGAAACAGAAGATAACATAATGTACAACCTTTTATGTAAAAGAATAAGGGAATATGAAATTATACATGTGCCTGCTTATTTCCACAAAAAGAAACTGATACAGTTCAGCTGTGTCCCCACCCAAATCTCATCTTGAATTGTAACTCCCACAATTCCCACGTGACAAGGGAGGAACCCAGTGGGAGGTGATGAATTATAAAGATGAGTCTTTCCTGCACTGTTCTCATGAGTGAATGAGTCTCACGAGATCTCATGATTTTAAAAATGGGAGTTTCCCTGCACAAGCTCTTTGCCTGCTGCCATCCATGCAAGATGTGACTTGCTCCTCCTTGCCTTCTGACATGATTGTGAGGCCTCCACACCTACATGGAACTGTAAGTTGATCAAACCTCTTTTGTAAATTGCCCAGTCTTGGGTATGCCTTTATCAGCAGTGTGAAAATGCACTAATACAGTCCATCTGTACCAGTGGGGAGGTGTGCTGCTGAAAAGATACCCCAAAATGTGGAAGCAACTTTGGAACTGGGTAACAGGTAGAGATGGGAACACTTTGGAGGGCTCAGAAAAAGACAGGAAAACGTGAGAAGGTTTGGAACTTCCTAGAAACTTGTTGAATGGCTTTGACAAAAATGTTGATAGTGATATGAACAGTAAGGTCTAGACTGAGGTGGTCTCAGATGGAGATGAGGAACTTGTTGGGAAGTGGAACGGAGGTGACTCTTGTTATGTTTTAGCAAAGAGGCTGGTGGCATTTTGCCCCTGCTGTAGAGATTTGTGGAACTTCGAACGAGAGAGAGATGATTTAGGGTATCTGGCGGAAGAAATTTCTAAGCAGCAAAGCATTCAAGAGGCAACATGGGTGTTGTTAAAGGCATTCAGTTTTATAAGGGAAGCAGTGCATAAAAGTCTGGATAATTTGCAGCCTGACAATGTGATAGGAAAGAAAACCCCATTTTCTCAAGAGAAATTCAAGCTGGCTACAGAAATTTGCATAAGTAACGAGGAGCCAAATGTTAATCCCGAAGACAATAGGGAAAATGTCTGCAGGGCATGTCAGAGACCTTCATGGCAGCGCCTCCCATCACAGGCCCAAAGGCCCAGGAAGAAAAAGTAGTTTCATGGGCCTGGCCCACGGTTCATGCTGTGTGCAGCCTGGGGACTTGGTGTCCTGCGTCCCAGCCACTCCAGCTGTGGCTGAAAGGGGCCAACACAGAGCTCAGGCCATGGCTTCAGATGGTGCAAGCCCCAAGCCTTGGCAGCTTCCACAAGGTGTTGAGCCTGAGGGTGCACAGAAGTCAGTAACTGAGATGTGGGAACTTCCACCTAGATTTCAAAAGATGTATGGAAACACCTAGATGCCCAGGCAGAAGTCTGCTGCAGGGGCAGGGTTCTCATGGAGAATCTCTGCTAGGGCAGTGCAGAAGGAAAATGTGGGGTTGGAGCCCCCACACAGAGTCCCTACTGGGGCACCACCTAGTGGAACTGTGAGAAGAGGGCCACGGTCCTCCAGACCCCAGAACAGTAGATCCACTGACAGCTTGTACCATGCACCTGGAAAGGCTGCAGACACTCAATGCCACCCATGAAAGCAGCCAGGAGGGAGGCTATACCCTGCAAAGCCAAAGGGGTGGAGCTGCCCAAGACCATGGGAACCCACCTCTTGCATCAGTGTGACCTGGATGTGAGACATGGAGTCAAAGGAGATATTTTGGAGCTTTAAGATTTGACTGCCCTGCTGGATTTCAGACTTGTGTGGGGCATGTAGCCCCTTTGTTTTGGTCAATTTCTCCCATTTGGAATGGCTGTACTTACCCAATGCCCATACCCCTACTGCATCCAGGAAGTAACTAACTTGTTTTGATTTTACAGGCTCATAGGCAGAAAAGACTTGCCTTATCTTGGATGAGACTTTGGACGGTGGACATTTTAGTTAATGCTGAAATAAGCTGAGACTCTGGGGGACTGTTGGGAAGGCATGATTGGTTTTAAAATGTGAAGATATGAGATTTGGGAGAGGCCAGAGGTGGAACGATATGGTTTGGCTATGTCCCAGCCAAATCTTATCTTGAATTGTAACTCCCACAATTCCCACGTCATGGGAGGAATCTGATGGAAGGTGACTGAATTATGGGGTCAGGTCTTTCCTGTGCTGTTCTTGTACTAGTGAATGAGTCTCATGAGATCTGATGGTTTTAAAAACGGGAATTTCTCTGCACAAGCTCTTTGCCTGCTGCCATCCCCGAAAGATGTGACTTGCTCCTCCTTGCATGATTGTAAAGCCTCCCCAGCGTGTGGAATTGTAAGTCAATTAAACCTCTTTCTTTTGTAAATTGCTCAGTCTTGGGTATGTCTAATCAGCAGTGTGAAAACAGACTAATACAGAAACACATGAAGGAAATGCCAGAAACTCATGAGACTGGAAAGGGAAGGAAGGAGTGGGGACAGGGTGGGGGATGACACAACTCTGGTATTTCTTTTTGCATATTTTGTCTTTTGTTACTATGTTAATGTGTTACTACTCAGAAGATAACATAGAGTCAACAAGGATGGGAGGAAACCCTAAAGTGGAATACAAACAAATCAACCTAACTATATTTTAAATTGATAGCACACACTGAAAATACAAAGAAGAGAAAAAAGAACCAAGTTTTTTTTGACTCAAGAAGTGTTTTGACCAAAAACTTAAAGACAAAAATAAATAAAAACAAATACAGAACTCTAGTTAGTATAAATAAAAACAAATATTGAATTCTAGTTAGTATAACTGTTTTTGCCGTAGTTCAGGTTAGAAATTCTAAAAAACTACCATGTATCCTAGGATTGAGGAGTAACTCAGTACGTTGTGAATGAAGGTCTTGAAGAGGGAAGCTACAAACATGGAAAGGGCCCTAGGGCGCTGAAATGAAATTGGAGACAACAGTATCCCCTCATTTTATTTTTATTTTGCTGTTTGGATCTTGTTAGAGTGTAACTGATATGCAGTAATTGCTAAAGTACAGAATTGGTAAGTTGTGACATTATGTACATACCATGAAACTATCACTATAATCAAGACAATGAACATAGCCATCACCTGCAAAACTCACGTCCCTTTGTAATCCCACCCTCAAATACCCCATTCCCAGACAACCAAGCCACTTTCTGTCATGACTGTGTTTTCTAGAATTTTATGCAAATGGTATCAGAGTATGTACTAATCTTACTAGTCTGAAAGTCATCCATGCTATAGCATGTATCAATACTCTATTTCCTTTTATTGTTGAATAATATATATATATATATTTTTTTTTGAGATGGAGTCTCACTCTGTTGCCCAGGCGGGAGTGCAATGGTGTGATCTCAGCTCACTGCAACTTCCACCTCCCAGGTTCAAGCGATTCTCCTGCTCAGCCTCCCAAGTAGCTGGGATTCCAGACACCTACCATCATGCCTAATTTTTGTATTTTTGTAGAGACAGGGTTTCACCATGTTGTCCAGGTTGGACTCGAACTCCTGACCTCAGGTGATTCACCCACCTCAGCTTCCCGAAGTGCTAGGATTATAGGTGTGAGCCACCAAGCCTGGTCTGTTGATTAGTATTTGATCACACAGATATGCCATGGTTAATTTAACTATTTACTTGTTGATGGACATTTTATTTCTACATTTTGGCTATTACTAATAAAGCTGCTATGAATATTCACGTACAAGCCTTTGTATGGACATATTTTCCAGTTCTCTTGGGCAAATACACGTCCAGGACTGAAAAGGCTATATCATAAGGAAGGTGCATGCCTAATTTTTAAGAAACTGCCAAACTGTTTTCCAAAGTGATTGTGCCACTTTACATTCCCACCAGGCGTGTATGAGAGACCCAACTGCTTCACATCTTTACCAACACTTAGTATGGTCAGTCTTCTTTCATGTTAGCCATTCTAGAGGGTGTGTAGTGGTGTCTCATTATGGTCCTAATTGGCATTTCCCTAATAATTAATAATATTAACAAGTTTCATATATTTATTTGCCATCTACATATCTTTCTTGGTGAAGTCTGTTCAAATTATTTGTCCATTTTAAAAACTGGGTTATACATTTTATTTATTTATTTTTTGACATGGGGTCTCACTCTGCTGCCCGGGCTGGAGTGCAGTGGCATGATCACAGCTCACCACAGTCTCAACCTTCCAGGCTCAAGCAATCCTTCCACCTCAGCCTCCCAGGTAGCTGGGACTGCAGATGTGTGCTACCACACTCGGCTAATTTTTTTTTACTTTTTGTAGAGATGGGATCTCACCATGTTGCCCAGACCTGTCTCAAACTCTTAAGCTCAAGCAATCAACACACCTCAGCCTCTCAAAGCACTGGGATTACAGACTGAGCCACCACACCCAGCCAGTAATTTTCGATTGGGTTCCAGACATTGTGAGTTTCATCTTGTTGGATGTTGGGTATTTGTATATTCCTGTAAACTCTCAGGTGGAGCTGAAGCAGTGCTCACTCCAAGGCTGATCATTCCCTACTACAGAGGCAAGACCCCCTACTCTGTCCTATACCCAATGCCCCATGAAATATTTTTCCAGTCTTAGCTGGTGGGAACAGGCACTATCCCTGGCCATGGGAGAGCACCAGACATCTCTCCTCTAATTCAAAAAGTTAAAGAGGAAAGGCCTTTTCACTGACCTTAAGTAGTTTTCTTGCACAATGAGCTGGTGAGTATTCAGCTGAGTGCCAAAGGAGATTCTGCAGACCTGTGGGGTTCTCTCCCTGTGCAGAGCTGTCTCCTCTATCATCTCTTTCATGTGAATGCCAGCCACCCTGGCCTCCCCTGATGCTCAGCTCTGTTTTTTCAACAGAGGGTCTGCCTTGGACTCCCATCTGGTTTCTTCCTCTTTCTGTCACAGCATGAAAATTCTCTCAAGGCAGTAGGGCAGGGCAACTGGAGAATTCAGTTCATTTGTTTCCCATCTCTCAAGAGATCACTGCCCTTTGGTGCCTGAAAACCATTGCTTCGTATGTTTTGTCATTGTTTTCATTGTTTCACATGGAAGGGTAAATGTTAATCTGTCTTTGCTGGAAGCCAAACTCATGGTTTTTATAGACATAGAGATAGGTGTATCTGTGCAATTTGTTGTGCATATATATGCATGTATGTATACGTATGTACACAACAAACACATACACACACATACATACATCTATTTCCTGATACTGTTGGCTACAAAAGCAATGACATACTAGCAGCAATGAACACTCTGAGAACCCAGATCCTAGTTCCTAAATACCATTCTCCAGGCCTCCTTGAAGAAATGGCTGATTCCAGGGCTGGCACAGAATACCAATTGAGCTCAGCATATATTAGTATACCAAGAAGAAAGGAGGTGCTCAAAGAATGGAGGGGACATACCAGAGGGACAAAGGAGCCTGCCTGAAGGAGCTCCCACCCATGAGGCAAATCTAAGACAATATGAGCATCATAATACCCCTATTAATGGATTACAATTATGGAAAAAAAGAATCCATTAGTCCATACTGATCTAATAAATAAATAAATAAATAAGGGAGAAGGAAAACCTTCCTTATAGTAGAATGTTAATCACCACTTGGCAATCACTGTAGTAATAACTGACTGAGGAAAGAATCATCAATGGATATTAAAACTAGTGGATAAAAGTTTGATGAGAAACAAGATATTTACACAGTCTCAAAGCATATTCCTTGAAAGTACAAATTAATTACAAAGGGAAAAATATTAACGTTAGCATTGAGAAACCTGGCAGACTCCACCTTAATCTTGAAAATTAACTTGTACTAGGTCAAACCACCATGTGTCTCCTGACAGATGCATTGAGTAAGATACAGTATCACCTCTGTGGTATGCCTGCCAAAAAAAACAATGTATGCATAGATGGGTGCGTGTGTGAATGATAAAGCAAAAGCTGAAAAATGTTAGTAACTTAGGTAAAGGATATAGGAGAGTTCTTCGTATTATTCAAACTGATTTCTTTAAGTTTGAAATTACTTCAAAATATGAAATTAACAAAAAAATTAACCATGTTAAATAAAAGTCTTTCTGAAACGCTACACATAAACCTGCCTTCTTAAACTGAGTGCCATAAGCAGCAATCTTTGGTAACTCAAGGTCATGACATTGTGAACACAGTGACTGCTACGGGATCACTAAGCAGGGCTATCTATACTCCATGGTCTTGAGCAATTGTTGAGTCTACATCTCCTAACTTTTCTCCCTTGACATAAGTTATCAGCTTTCGTACTTCTAGAATGTCTGTCTCTAGCCACAAGCCTGTCTCTTTCCCTTATAATGTTACTTTAATCTCCTATGGTTGGAAAATCAGATTAATGTAGCACATAGCATGTAAAGTAACTGCCTACTAATGTTCTACACATCTATTTAAGAATTGCACACTTCCCATAAGTGGCCATAAGTACTACTGTTTTCCAAAGTTTCAAATTCTTCTAGGTCTTCAGAAAAGAGGCGTAATTACAATTTTTTAAATGTCAATATATTTCAAATCTAAATTTTTGAAGAAAAACGCTTCTGGCTGAGAGCCCTCTATGCACCATCAGTTAAAGACTGCTACTGCTAGAAACAGCCTACTCATTTTCTGGTCCTAGCATCCCTGTGGCAAATGTATCAAATGGATTACCTGATTTTTTGAAAAGCTTTTCCAAAACATAATCATCATTGCTCTGTTCCTTGGCCTCACTCTTGTTTTCACTATCTTGCTTCTGGTAACGCCTTTTCTTCACCAGGTGTGGAATTCGAGTTCCTTCAAACTTGGCGTCTCTGCAATGCTTAGGGTTCTTAGGCTTTTGCTTTGGTCTCAGATGTTTCTCTAGGGTCTCTTCTTCTGCCACACTATGATGTTTTGTTTTTGACTTGTGCTTATAAAAATTATTTTCCATTTGTTTATTCTCCCAAAAAGATTCTGTTTGAGCCTGGCTGGATCTTTTTCTTTTGTAAGAAAGATCCAACTTTTCATCAATGCTTTCATCACCAGATGGCCTAGAAGTTTTGCCTGTTCCTGAAGAATTTGAACATTCCCCATTTCCACTAATCACTGACGACTCTTCCGGTCCAGATACTGCATTTGTCTCTTCTCCAAGCCTATCATTGCTAGCTATATTACTACTCATGTGAGGGTCATCTTTCAAAGGATCACTTTGATTAGAAGGTACTACATTTACTTCAGCTCCTTTAGCCTCAGATTTCTCTTCAGATGATGTGGCATCATTTATTGATATGTTAGAAGCAGGGAACTTTTTGCGTTTTGGAACATCATGGTCTGCTCCAAAGGCTGGTTGAATCTTTCTTTTTAGATGGCATTTGGGTGTCTGAACATCTGATCCAGTTCCTGTAGAGGAAAAACACCGCTAATACTATATTGTATCATCTTGTGCAATTGATTACTTTAAATTAAATGATTTTATGTAATACCTGCAAAAATCGCACTTGTTTCAGTGCTCTGGGATGCATCAGGGCTAGTCAGAGTAAATAGCTCATACAGATCATTGGATTTGAAAAAACGCCTTTGTTTTGGGTCTTTTAGCACTCTATTTGTCAAAAACTGCTTGAAGATTTGTCTAAAAAAATAAAAGATAAGCTGGTATAAAACAATGTGTAGCTCTACCTAAAAATTCAAGTTATAAAGCAATATAAGAGAGATACGATAATAGCTGCTGCATGAATGGCTAAATAATCCCCCAAATTTTCAGCCCTGGAAAATTACAATTCAGAAAATAGATAATACATCAGTTAATCTCCCACATCTTGCAGAATTTAAATTAGAAATAATACCTTATTATTTACACCAAATGAGCTTTTTCAACCTCTAAGATCTAATCCATTTCAAGAAACACCTTTTCACATGCCATCATGTGACTCATAGCCTCTCTTAGCCTCCCTGACTTGAATACCAAGGGTCCTGCCCTGCCTAGAACCTTTCTATCATAGGGCTCAGCAAACTCTCCTACCTAGGCTTTGCAACATCTCCACTCTGACCTCTCTCTCCCTGCTCCCACCTGCAGGTCCACACTCTGCTGAAGCCCCATGCCACTGCCACTCTGGAACAGGCACCTCCACCAGCCACACTGTCCCTCCCTGTCATTTATTCTCCTGGCTAAAGCATAAATCTGTAAGAGGAAGCTCTATTCTCACAGGATCCAACTCGTCCTCCACCCTCACACAACAGTCCCTTGAGGAAGATGTAATGTTCCCAGCATGTGATGAAGGGCATAGAACTTCCTATAAAAGCTGGGCTATGGCTCAAGGAGAGTCTGTGGTGGGGGAGTGGGAGAAGCTGGCAATGTCTTGATTCTACTGTTGAAGTTACCACTGTCTAAAATCCCCTAGTCATTACAGAAAGAGGAAGAAACAGGCATCCTGTCAACTTCTTTGTAAGGGGCATCAGAGTCAAAGACCGCCAGAACACCCACACTGATCCCACCTGCATAGTATGTGTAAATACCAATATGGTAACATTTAACCTTGTCATTTTTTAAAATTTTTCTGAAGGCAACACACCATAGTAGGCAGAAATATTCCTTTCAAATAACAATACGAAGTTTACACATACGTGATTCTTGAGGTAGAATAAGGTACAAAAATTATCAGGTTCAAAGACATTTTCTGACAACTCACAGTAAGCCATCTAAGCATATTTTAAAGGGAAAGAAAAAATACAAAACAAAAACCAAAACCTTAACTTATAGCAACTATTATTCTAAGATGTTAAGACTTTTAAAAACAACACTTTGGAAAAATTCCCTGCTCAAGACTCTGGGAACGCACAACCAAGAGTGGCCGTCGTGTGCACTGACCGGTGGTAGATCTTTTCTTCAATGGTACCCGCAGTGAGGAGCCTGTACACAGTCACCTGCTTCTTCTGGCCTATTCTCCATGCTCGCTCCCGGGCCTGTGGCAGAGAGAGACCTCTCAACAAGAATCCTTCCCAATGACAAGCACTGACTATAAGAAACAAAGCTAGCCGGTCACAACCTTTCACTCCCAGAGTCAGAATTTTGACTCACGACGTCAAGTACACCTAAGGCCTACTCAGGAAGATGAAGAGCCAGTTGACAAGACATCTGTACTTGAAAAAAATGTTTGTAACTATGCCTATGTTCTTTTTGCCCCAACTCTAGGAAAGAATGCTATGGATAAACTGTTGAGGATGGTTCCTGTCCACGTGGCTCTGAAGGGTGTCTTCTTCCACGTTGAAGAACAGTAGACAACCAAAATGTGAAATGTACTCTGAAGTCAACCAGAACATCAAAGGACAGTCACAAGCACTAACCATGAAACTATATTTCTACTAATATATTCTTTTCTTAAAAAAATAAAAAACAAACCTGTGTGTCTGTGCTTGGGTTCCAGTCGGGGTCATAGATGACAACTCTGTTTGCCCCTGTCAGGTTGACACCTAAACCGCCCACCCGCGTGGTCAGAAGAAACACAAATATGGATGTGTCCTAGAGGTAAGACACACAACACTGAGCACACACTTAAGACCAGTTATAGCTCTCAGCCTCTGCCTCCACATACTGTACACACGGAACTACTGGGCTGTTCTCAATACAAGGAATGGTAATGTCCTAGAGACCTCTGGTGAATCAAAATCTCATTTCACACCTTTTAATTTTAATATTTAATAGAAATATTTAAAAATTGGGTTTTTAGGAGGAAAATACATTCTGTGGAAAACACATTCTTTGTTTGAACACACACATGCCCACCCCCACCCCCAAATATCTAGAAGTGCACAGAGTTAAAAGCAACAAGTCTTCCCTTAGGCCCCCTCCCAAGCCCAGATGTCAACGCTGCTTCGGTGGGTAAGGGTGTGGATACGCTTAGTCCTTTCCCTCCACGTACAGCAGCACCGCTCAACTTTCCTGTTACATTCACATGTTACCTCATTGTATCTTGTAATCAGTGGCTGTCTTGAAGCTATTGTAGTGGTACCATCCATCTTGAGATAGGTATACTTTTGGGCTCTAAGGAATACTTCAAGTATGTCCAGCATCTGTTTGGAGGTGGAGGATAGGAATTTGCAAAGCAAATACACATTCCCAGTGAGTGCTTCTCTATTTGTGTAAATGGTCACACCTTTCCCCAACAGGCCTATGTTAAAAGGAGTTTCTTGCTTTAGGACAGATAAACAGAACTGTTAAAATAGTAGTTTTGGTATATCCGTATGGTTAATTCTTACTTTTGTAAACAGCCAAAGCTCAGGCCTAAACTCACTTGCAGACCAAAATCACATGGTGAGCTTTTTTAAAAAGTCAACTTTTAGATACCAACTCTAGAGAAAGATCTAAACTCCCAAAGAAATCGGCAGACTGCCACCTCAGCATCAGTGGTAGACTTGCTTCAGAATCATTACTCTAGACTGAATCCCATTTTGTGAGTTGATGGCTGTCATAAAGAACCAGCCTGTTTCCTGTCTGAAGTCTGTGCACTCACCTGCCTTGACTGAGAAAACAGCAATACTCGCTGACCCTGCTTGTGCCATATTTTCAACAAAGATTCAACAACAATCATTTTCCCAGAACGTTTCCAGTACCCAAACTGATCTTCTTCTAGTTCATCATCAGGAAGACCTTTGAGATTCTTGGGACCTCCAGAAAAGAGATCAGGGTGGTTGCAAATTTTTCTTAGGGCTATGAGTCCGGAGAAAATCTATGATTAAAAAAGACCGTATGTACACTCAGATGACCCCATGTAAAGTAAGATTCCCTAGGCAAGGAGGCTATTCAACCTATAACACAGACTAAAAAACAGGTCTCCACCAGTTTCTTAGTTTCTTCTCTAATCACAGCATTATCAGGAGCTGGGAGAAATTAACTTTCACTCATCTTGTTTCCCTGATAGAACAAGTTCTTGGAAACAAAAAAATTCTACTGGACTGAACACATCTACAGGGGTCATATACAATTGCTGACAATTCATTTTCCCTCACTAGAAAAAAGGCATGCTGTTCACAGCATTATAAACTTAATATAAAAAAGGAACTTGCCTTTTAAATATAGATCAGAAATGTCCTATCAACCTAAACTTGAAGACATCAGTCATGTGACTTATCAAATGCATTTAAATATTACACTCCTAAGTACCTCACTAAAAGTTCTGCAGTTTAATATGAGTCAGAGGTTGAGGATCCATTTGCCTTTAGACTATTATTATATCCGGAAAAAAAAAAAAAAAAAACTGCATGAAAAATGCACCAATCGGAAAAGTATGAAGTATGGTCCATGCAGAAGGGCACAGAAGATGAGGGGTGAGTGCCCCTGGCCCATCCCCACAAAAGGACATTAACAAAACTTCAATAATGGGGCTCTTCCAGCCTTGAGAGGATGACTCAAATCAAACTCACTGGTATAAAAGCTTGAGCAAAAAAGGAGAAATCACCATTAAGCCAATAATCAAAGGGTAGGGTAGCTATCACTAGTAAACAGCAGTTAAACAGATTAACAATAAATGATCTGAATAAGTCAGGAACACTGGCAAACCTCCCCAGAGTCATCCATGACTCATTTTTCTTCCTTTCAATCTGCACTGTCCAATGCAGTAGTCACTAGTCACACGTGGCTCCCGAGTACATGAAGGGTGGCTAGTTCAAATTGTGATGTGCTGCATTTGTAAAATACACACCCAATTTCGAAGACAAAAACAGGAGTAAAATATCTTGCTAATCATTTTTAATTTGATTATATATTAAAATGTATTTTAGATACATTAGGTCAAATAAAATATATGATCAAAATTAATTGCACCTGTTTCTCTTTTTCCTTTTTAATGTGACTACTAGAAAATTTACAATTCCAAGTGTAGTTTGCATTCTCTCTTCTGGATAGTGTGATCTAGACCTTCTAACTTGGAGAGACCTGAAGAAGTTAAGGGGAGATTCATGGAGACGAACAGATGTGAATGACTGAAAAAACCTCCTGTAGCTACCAATAAGAAATGAAATAAGAAATTGTGAGAGATGGTTAAAAGAAATGAAATGACCTAATCACACTCACATTAATAGAGTCTTTTGGAGAAAACACTAGCTAGGAACTTCTGAATTCTGGACACTAGTAGAAAGAGAGCTTTCTCAGTATTGAAAGGAACAGAATCACCATAAATAAACTACTGTCCTACCCCGGGGACAATGAGTATTAGAGCCAGGGACATTTGAACTGGATTTATATCTGGTTCCTAATATGGCAATGGTTCATAAACATTTATTGGGGAATAGGGCTCCTTTAGGAAGCTGATAAAAGTTATGAATCCTCACGATCCTCTCCACAAGATATATAATTTTGGTCATAATATCTGGGAAAACCCAGTTATGTACCTGACACTTGCCCACCTACCAAGTAAGACCCTCAGAAGTAACAGTAACTGCACAGCTCGCAGCTGCATTTGCGTCTGGGTTCAGATCCACAGTGCACAGCTCTGCAACCTTCCACCTTCCACCAGTTACCTAACTCCTCTGCACCTTACGGCTCCAGGCCATAGGCTGACTGCACATCTACCATGCAGGACTGCATGCAAGTGAAGTGAGATGACAGTATGTGAAAAGCCTGGCATACTATAGATCCTAGTTTCTTTTCCTCCCTCGCTTCCCTTGGTCCACAATTCATTTCTCCAGCTTCTATTTTTTAGCTGACCTGCATCTCTCCATTGAGAATCCTGTAAACTTCTTTGGAATCAACGAAATTTTGGTAGACTTTATGCTGCTCATCTGTAAGACGGCAAAATAAGACCTACGGAGGGGAAAAACAAGGAAACTATAATTTCAAAAAAAAATTAACAGAAATAATTAAAATATCAACAAAACTTCCCAATCAAAAGAGCACAATGCATGCGATTTTAATGATATCCCTGTAATTAATATGAAAACAACAAAGGGTGATAATACTTCTTACCATACCCTCCTCACCAGTCCCTCCATCTCTGTCACTCATCTACCTCCAGGGCCCACCCCACAGTCCCCAAGACTGGCTTCCTGCTCACGAGCAAGTTCAGGGCCCAGGTGCACAGACCATCCTCCATGTTAGCCTCCAAGTGCTCAAACCATCCCACCTCCCATGACCCATGCCATGCTCTACTCGCAGACCTGACCAGAGACCACAACCTCACCTGGAGCTCTCCCTTTCCTGGAGCTCTAAGTGCAGGCCCATGAGTTACCAGACTCACCTTGGAAGGCAATCCCTACCCTCCCAGCCCACTGCACCAACCACTCCATGCCATCGTGCTCTGTGACCCTTCACCTCTCAACCCTCCCTCCTTCGTGAAGTCCACCACCACCAGTTACATTCCCATGGATGCTCATTTAGCTAACCCTCTGTCACCTACCTGGACTGCTTTCAACTCCCTGCATCTTCCCTGTAAACTTCCAAATACAGGTCAACTCAACCATCAGTCTTCTGTAGGCCTATGGTCAGTGCCGGTGCTGCTGGAGAAAAGCTCCTACCCGGCAGCTTCCTGCCATGGCCTGCCCTGCTCCAGGGGGTCCTCTACGCATGCCCACCCAGAGCCTTCCATAAGCCCAGAGCAACTGTGCCCATGCTCCTCACCACCTAAGCCACCCACACCTCTGTTTCAACTTCTACTTAAAAACAATCAGACAAAATTTTATTGATATAATTATAACATTGATTTGTTATAAACAATAAACAAACTATGATGTGTTGAGTTTTAGTATAATATCAAAGAATAGCTACTGTTTTCTGAAAAGGTTATTTTAATACTTCTGCCTTTTCCAATTACATTTCTGCTTCAAATCAAACATTAAAGAGCTTTGCAAAAATGTAAAATAATGTCACTCTTCTCATTATATTCTTTTGTTTTCAAAAATATAGTCTTTATTTATTTTTTATAAGGCAGGGATCTCGTCATTAAAAATTGAATTAATCTACCATTAAAATCATATACTGTTACATTAAAATCTTCCATCTTAAATGGCTCTTTTATCCAGGGTTAATTTTGTAGCATCATGCATTGGTCATTTGGAAAATACTGGTTCAATTTGTTATGCAGATTTTCCAAATGTTGAAACATTTCATTGGTATGCATTGATTGATATGCAGTATCAAAAAAACCACATGTGTTAATATCATTGCCAGTTTCATGAGAAAAGTATTTAAGCATCGGGACACTGTCAAGCTCAGAAAGGCAAGTACAAATTTTCCAAAGTTCTAATTTTTGCTTGAAAGCTTAAATGTTATCAGTGGTAACAAATACTGTCAGTTACTTTCCTTAAAATGACATACTTGTTGAATTAGAGAGAAAATGTCTGCCAAATACCTAACTCTGTAATTGGTTCATTTAATTAAATATTGCGTTCTATGAAAAAAAAAAAAAAAAAAAAAAAAAAAACAATCAGACAAATAAAAACAAAATGAAAATCAAACCTGAACCTACCAGGATCAGGCATGATTCCCTGGTTTTCACTCCCTAACATGTCTCTACTTCTGCATCCACCTCATCTTCCTTTATTCCCAGAGAAAGAGGTGCCTGAACGGGATGGAAGGCAACGCTTCAACCTCTGCACTGCATCTGAAGACCCACTCATTCTCCTCAGTATAGTGTGCCTCACCTGTTAGCCTCCAAATGGAAGATGGGGGCTTCCCTGAGAAAATAAGGTACAATCCCCACCTCCACTTCCTCACCTCCACTCACTCCTGAAGCCTACACACAGAGCAAGCCTCACATGCACCTCTGTTGATAACACTGAGGCATCACTCATGACTTCCTAGTGGCCAAACACACTGGGTCCTTACCAGGTCACCCTACTCACCTTCCGACCCACAGGCCTTCACTTCTGCTCATGCACCTGTCTGCGCCAGCCTCCCCAGTCTTCCCAGCTAGCTCCTCCTCTTCTACCCTCCTCCTTGCTCTCAGCCCTGACCACACTGGCCTCCCTGCTGTCCATGGAGGCCCCAAAGCACTGCCACAGCCCACCATCTGCAATGCTCTGCCTTCAAAACCTATATGACTTGCTCCTTCGCCTTCTTTAGGCCTCTGCTCAAGTGTCAGTTCATCAAAAGTCTTCTCTGACCATCCCTTATAAATGGCCCACTTCCCCAAATCCTTGCCCTCAGCATTCCCAGCTTATCCTTCAATCCTGCTTCATTTGTCTCCACACTTACTGCTGCTACCTGACATCTTCTAGAGTTTCTGTGACACTCTCCCTCAAGAATAAATGTGGGTTCCCACAAGAACAAAACTTGCTTTGTTCACTGCTATATCTCAGAGCCTAGGATCATGACAGGCACATGGTTGGCACCTAATATAATTTGTAGCATGAATGAATTAGGGGCTTAAGGAGAATGGAGATGTTTAAAAGAGCAATTGTAGGAACCCATGTGTCAATAAGAGGGAGGTCAAAGCCTGTGGACTAGAAAAGAATCCACTGAGGGCAGACGCCACAGCAGGCCTAGCCTGACCACAGTTCCAGGATCACACCTCACCAAATTCACCCATAGAGGAGAATCAGAGTGAAGAGAAAGGCACACTTATGCTTTAGGAATGCTTTGTTAACACCTGGATTTACAGACCTGTTCATTTTTGTCTGGCAAAGAAAGGCTCATTTTGACATCTGACTTCATTCTCCGTAGTAAATATGGATTTATGGTATCTCGTAATACACATGCACACTTGTAAGCAGTTTTGACCTTTAAAAAGAGCAGAGAAGAGAACACTACCATACATGTTTAAGGAATGTATTTGTTCTTACCTCTCAATAGATTCCATTCCTTAAAAAAATAAAAGAATGACCAACAGCTGTACAAAGTCAGGGGAAATGATTGCAAAATGGTTTGAAAAAGCTAGCATAAGTTCCATATACTCCAAGGGGTGGTAGCTTTCATAATATTATCAGTTAAAAAAATTATCTCATTAACCACAATGTACAACAAAACTGATAATTTTGTGCCTTATTTCTCTTGTACACTTTCTTTTAATTATTACTGTACAGTTAAACCCTAAAGTAGAGACTTATTGGGTTCTTGACCACTACCCCTAGGGGAAAAACTGCTTTTGTACAAATCTCTGTTTATGATCTTGTATTCTCCAAAAGCTACAAAGGCACTCTGTAAAGCTGAAGATCAAAAGCTAACTCTAGGGAAAAGCTGCAGTGATGGAGCAGCCAGCCAATAAGCAGAGATTAGGGCCCACTGGAGACTTACAAGAGTAAGTTCAACAAGAGCCCTCTGATCCTAGAAATGAAAGGTCACTCTGCCCTAAAATGCAGCATATGGTTCTGTAATGGAGCACGGCCACATGAGATGAGTACTAAATATACGCAAAAAACAAAGCCCCACAGCCCAGAAAACCACTCCCTCTGCAATTCACTTACAGGCAAAGCAGTCAATAAATTATTGCTACTTCAAAAAAAAATCTAAATAGGCTTAACAACTTAGTAAATTACTATTTCATGGAAAAAATTCCAACCAAAGTTTCAATTTAAGAAAGTCAGTTGTAAAATGAATGATAATAAAAAAGAGCTTGACCACACACAAAAAAAGTTAAAAAATTAACTTGTTAAAAAATATTTTTAAAGAACGCTAAAAATACCTCACTCATGCACATATATGTATGTGTGTGTATCTGTTGTGTGAACGCATGTGCATAAATATTAAAATAGGCTTTACTTGGAATAATACATAAAAAAGAAGCTCAACTAATCAATGACTTTTATTTATATATAACCCCTTAAATATATCATTCAGACATTGATAAAAATCACCTTGAAGATGATGATAAGATACCTATTACTATTTCTGATGCAGAGATGATGAAATTTCAGAATTTAAAAACACAGTCCCACCAAGGAAGCATGAATGTAGAGTCTGTAAAGAAAACTGCCCCCACATCCTCCCTCCGCCCACACCCCCTTCCGCAGAAGAATGAGCATGATGGTTGGAGGTGCTGGTTAACTACACCAGGGCTAGGCTGGGGAGCAGCTGGGCTGTGGCTCCTGCTCTTTCCTGCATGCCACCCCATGGAGATGATGATCTGTTTCACTCCCAACTGGCTCCCAGTCTGTTTCTCTGTTCATAATAATACAAGGTGGGATCCAGCTAGATTTCTCTACCAATGCTCATATCCCAGTGCTGTGGAAAATGGACACCTTGCTGAGCATGCCCACGCTACTTCCTACTCTGACAAGGAAGAGTTCTGCCTCTTCCTGAGCACAGTGGCCTTAGGCGAGTCACCAGAACGCTGAGAATCAAAAACCTTGTATGTGGAATGAAGAGGGTCAACTAGGCATCTCTGCAGGCTCTTCTCAGTTCTCACATGCCCTGCCCCAGCTGAGCACACCAACCCCAGCAGCAGTCTGTATTTGGGCTGCTGACATGCTCCCCCTCACCTTCCTCACCTTTCAGGCCCCAGCTTAGTCATCCCTTCTCCAGGAAGCCTTTCTGAGCTCCATAAGCTCTGACACTGGGCATCTCCCCTGATCACAGTTGTCACTGTCCTGTACTGGGACCAGGTTTATTTACCATTTTCCCCTGTGCCCACCCTTACCGGACTGGAAATACCTTCATGGGAAGGTTCTGGTTTCCAGCTCCTGCCATCATTTTAGCACCAGCATGACAGAATAAATATCGGCACACAGACTATCTTCTTAGAATTCAAAATGCACGGCAACATGGTCTTAAACAAAAAGGAGCAAATACAACCAATGCTCTGCTTTCAAAGATCTCACCCGCTAGGAAGGGGAGAAAGATAAGTACACAGATTCCTGAAACAAGAAGTTCAAGGAAAAAATAGATCATAATGACATGTTCTCAAATCATTTTTCTATAAATGACTTATTAATGTCAAAGGAGAAGTGGTAACTTCACAGAGTTTAGATCTGGCCAACACCAACTTAAAGTAATCAGAGTTAACATCACCCATAGTGGGACAGACAGACAGCATGTTCCTCCAGATACCACGCACTGAGGAAGACACATCATTTCTGTGATATTCCTGGTCAAAATGTATAACCTGAATCCAATCATGAAAAAATGTAAGGCAAACCCAAACTGAGGTACATTCTACAAACTAACAGGCCTATAGTCTTTAAAAATGTCAAGATAATGAAGGGCAAAACAAACGGTCCCAGATTAAAGGAGACTAGAGACACAGAAACTACTGGAACAACTGACAAAATATGAGTGATTATAGACTAGATAACAGACTCCTATCAATGTTAAACTTCCTTCTGATTTTGTTGCTTACACTGGCTATGTAAGAGGCTATCCTTGTTCTTGGAAATACACACTGAAGGATTTGGAGAAACGGGCATCAGATCTGCAACCTGCCCTCAGATGGTTAGAAAACAGTAACTTCAGCTGTGAATCTACATGGAAAGAGGTGCGGGAGAGGGAGGGGAGGAATAGTAAAGCCAATGTGGCAAAATGTTTGCAAAATGCTAACAATCAGTGAATCTGGGTGAAGTGTTAAGAGGGTTTTCTTGTTTGTTTGTTCTTTTAAAATTCTTACAACTTTTTGTTAAGTTTGAAATTATTTCAAAATGAATTTTTTTTAAAAAAATAGAATGGTATAACAGGAGATTGAGAGAAAGAAGAGAGTCCTTACAAAAGTTAGCTGAAAACAATTCAATCTCAAAATGTAAAAGATGTTAAAATTGTTTCTGACAATCTTTTAATCTTAAAGGTCTAAAATCCTTTTTCTAATTAAATATTCCAAAATACAAGAGCTTCTCTTTTGGTGGAAAGTCTCATCCCTGGCTCAGCCATGACCTGGTAGGCACAGGCCAACCCAAGAAGGGCTGCTGAGAAACCCTGCCTCCCATCCAGGCTGTAGCCTGCCCTACAAGCCACAAACTGCCCTGTGGCTAACTTTACCTCCTGGCATTTCTGCTTGTGACCACCCCATTCCATCAGGTGCCCGGGCCTGAAACCTCAGGAGTCAGTCAGTTATTCACAGCAAGCTTAGCCCCTACTCCATCTCCTCGATCCTATCAGCCTCCAAACCTTGTTTGTGCTGCCTAAAAATGCCACCTGAGTCTCCTGCCCCACCATCTTTCTCAGACCACCACCCAAGATCAGGTACAGGTCCTCATGGCCCTCACCCCAGTGGTTCCTGCAGGTCACTCAGTGCCAGCCTCCCTCCTGTGACTACCCCATAGCACAACGAACCCCTGAGAACCAGCATCTTCCAGAGTCCTGCTCAGACACTTTCAGTAACCCAGTCCTCCCCGAGTGCCACTGCTTCCCTTTCAAGGCCCTTCAGTTCTGGCATCCACAGCTTTCTAGCTATGCCCCCACAAGCATCTCCGATCCAGTCAAGTGGGTCTCTTCACTGCCCCCAGCCACATATGGTGGCTGCATTCACACTGTTGCCCTAATCAAGGATGCCCTCACTCTCCATGGCCCACATTCCCAGAATCAGGTTAAGGGCCATGTCTCATTAAATCATCCCTGAACAGTCCGATCCTCCTGGTGTTTCTAAGTTTCTCCACCACTTTATAAGATGCATTACCCCAATTTGCAGAACTAAATTACATGCTGTTCCAAATGATTTGTCCTTGTTTCATAATTTCTAACTGCTCTTCTGACCACATGTGACATCTTTTTAAAATTTGTTGTCTGACTAAAACATCCCAGGAACAATGCCAAAACTGTTTAATTTCCATTAAACGAAGAGATATTTTATTCTAGGGCTTTCCTCTCTGTGAATATTTTTCATGATGTTTTAAGTAAAAAAATACGATCAAGCAAAAATAATTTTGTGATTTTTTTTATCAGATACCAGTTTATAAGCCTGGCCATCTTTCTCACATTCTGAATGACTTGGCTACAAATTATAGTATTTAATAGGAGCATTTTAAATACTAAACTGCCAAAAGTATTATCATCCTAATATATTACCTGTACTGGGGAAGCATTTGAATATCCCCCCATGGTGATGGGGACAGAGAACTGCTCCATAAACACAGGCAATGTGCCTAACTTTCCCGGGAAGATGAAGTCAAAGAGTGACCACAGCTCTCGGAGGTTATTTTGCATTGGTGAGCCAGACAGGATGATCCGATGAGGGGTGCGAAACTATTTGAGGAAAGGAAACACCTTTTTATTAAATTTACCTTTTAGCAATCACCATTCCTACCCCAAAACGCTTCTCTACAATATTATTTACACATTTACTCATTATTCTTGCATCATTTTGGTACTCTCTAAAACATACACATTTTATGCAATTACAAATCCTTAATTACATTTAGATGAAAAAATTACAAAGAATTTTTTCTTATTGTTGAAGCTGAATACTATAGAGTTGGGTTTGGTTACATTCTAACAACTGGCCCCTACAAGAGACACTAAATAACGTGAACAATCAGAATTAAAGACATGATCAAGGGCAAAAATAAGGAGTTCTTTGCACTAACGAAAATGCACATTTTAAATTCCTTGTGCAGTTGGCACAAGAAAAGATTCAATAAATGTGTTACTAAAAGCAGATCGTTTATTCTGAATTAAATATTCTTCTCCACCTGGAAATCTCCCTTGTTATAAGAGGTCATACCTGTTTGCAAGCAAGGGTGACAGCAGCATTTGGATTTCGAATTTTGTGTCCTTCGTCCAAGATCACATAATGCCAGTCATACCTGCTAATGTCATCCTGCATCAGTCGAATGTAGGAGTAAGATGTGATCAAAATTCCATGACAATGAGCAACATCTCGAATTAGTTTCTCCTAAGACCATAATAAAATGGTAAAGCCAGTTTTAAATAAGAAGTGACACCCTTTCAATCATGACACAATCTAAAGCACTTTATAAAAATGCATAAATACAAACATAACATGCACAATCATAGACATTATCAGCACTGGAAGTGTATTTGTTAACCTGGCAAGTAGTAAACAGTCATTATTGGGGGAAGGAGACTCTCAAAAAGATGACAAAGTTATAATACATATTTATATAAATATATACGTATATTAAATTTTTATTTTTATTTTTTCAAAACATCCTTTGCGTCCATCCTTGTTAAAACAACAATGTGAATGGAAAATATATTAATTTAAAACAAAAGCAAGAAAATAAGAGAAAATCCAAAGACACACGGCAGACAAATCTAGGATCTCTAACAATGTATAACAGGAATTCCAGGACTGAGTGGAAAGGATATAAAAGCAATGATTTTAAAAAGATAGAAAAAAAGCCAGTACAGTGGCTTATACCTGTAATCCCAGCACTTTGGGAGGCTGAGGTGGGTGGATTGCTTGAGCCCAGGAGTTCGAGACCAGCCTAGGCAACATGGTGAAAGCCTATCTCTACTAAAAAATTTTAAAAGTTAGCTGGATATGGTGCCAAGCACCTGTAGTCCCATCTACTCAGGAGGCTGAGGTGGGAGGATCCCTTGAGCCCAGTAGGTCAAGGCTGCACTGAGCGGTGATGGCACCACTGTACTCCAGCCTGGGTGACAGTCAGAGTCTGTCTCAAAAAAAAAAAAAAAAAAAAAGAAAATGATAGAAAACAATCTCCATAAATGGAGCCGAGATTTGAATCTACAGAACAAAACATCTCCCAGAGTGTCAGGCAGAGACACTAAAAAAAAGACATATCTGTAGACGTAGCTTACTAGATGTCTGAATTCCAAAAATAAATAAAAACAGCCAGGCAAAGTGGCTTATGCCTATAATCTCAGCACTTTGGGAAGCTGAGGGAGGAGGATCTCTTCAGGCCAGGAGTTCAAGACTAGCCTGAACAACAAAGCAAGACCTGTCTCTACAAAAAATAAAAAAATTAGCAGTGCATGGTGGTATAAGCAGTGCATGGTGGTATACAGCTGCAGTGCCAGCTACTCAGCAGGCTCAGGCAAGAAGATCCCTTGAGCTCAGGAGTTTGAGGCTACAGTGAGCTATGATCTCACTACTGCATTCCAGGCTGGGCGACGGCGTGAGACCCTGACTCAAAAGAGAAAAATACTTTTAAAAATAAGAAGAAAGTGTCATACATTCCAGTCAGAATGAAACAGAAAAAGAAAATATTCCCTTCAGATGAAAAGGACTGCCTGCATCAGACATCTTTTCTGTAGCACTAAAAATGTCCGAAGGCAAAGAGGAAAATCTTTACATAATTCTAAGAAAGAAAAGTGGTAACCATAGATTCTACATCAATCCAAACTAGCAGTCATGCTTGATGAAGAAAATAAACAAATTCCAGCTTCAGATAGGAAGGACTTGGAAGATCAGTCACCAACAGATTGGCTAGCTACTGTGCACTGTACCCAGACAGTGGAGTGGCGCAGTCGTGGACAAAGAGGAAGGCATGCACAGACGCCATGACCTGAAGAAAGACAGCAATGCTCCCGCCTCGCATCCTCACCACAGCCCATGCTCACAGCAGCTCCCCAAGGAAGGACAGAGGGGCCATCACTAACTCCATTTTACAGATGAGGGAACTGGGGTTGGAGATGGTAACTAATGTACCAGGTCATGCAGCTGCTAAGTGGTGGAGTCAGAATTCAAATGGAGAAAGGTAGCCAAATCCAAAGCTAGTACTACTGATATTAGGCTACACTACCTCCTACTAAAATATAAAAGAAAAAATTTAAAAAGAAGATTATATGTGATATACATACCATTTCTTAAATCATTAAAGCATAACAATAAAGCCTAAATATTAAACACTTAAATATGAATGAAACTGTTAAGAAATGATCTAAAATATTAAAAGGTATATATTTTTAAGTGTTACTGTAATTCCTATTTAGTTTCATAAAAGCTGCAGCGAGATTAAGGGAAAATAAAAGCGGACTAAAAATTCCACCCTGTCCAACGGTAGAATGGGATACAGGAAATTGATAGAGTTTAATTCTTAACCATGTCAGAAAAATATGTTAAAATACATTTGTCAAAACTTTAAGCTGATTACTGAGTAACAGTTGCTACTTCTACATAAATACTAGAAAATAAATAGAATGTAGAGCTCTCAAACCATTACAAGGGAAAATAATAGAAAATAGCAAAAATCAGGACAACAGAAAACAGAAAACAAGATATCAGGTTGCAGACTAAACCTGGTAACCCACCACATGACAGTGGGTTATTAACAGTGAGACATTCCACTGGGTAAGGCAAAAACCTAGCCTTCTGTTTAAAAGAGACCCAAATCAGACTGGTACTGAAAGGTGTAATATGGGAATTATCAAAGATATACCAAAGAAATGCAAACCAAAAAAGGGCAGGATTAGCAATATAAATATGAAACAAAAAGGAGTAAATAGAAAGGGATATTTTATATTTTAATGGGGATCCCACAAGAAGAAAAAAAAGCCATGAACCTTTACCTACCAAAACGCACAGCAATAAACACAAAAGCAGAGCCCTTAGAGCTGTCAAACTGACACACCCACAGCCTACCCAGAGAGCGGACCACAGCCTGAGAGAGAGTCAGATCAAAGAAAATAAAACATTTAAAAAGAGGATGCAAAGGATTTGAGTATCACCATCAGAGCTCCTTTTAACTGTGATCAGCAGCACTTTAGACTATACAAAGAATATTCATTCTTTACAAACACTCTATTAAGAAAAGATGAAATCAAAATGAGCAGTCAACTTAGCCTGCTAAAAAAGGAAAATGAGAGAATTAGTAAGATAAAAATTAGTGGGTACTAAAAAAACTGGTAGAATTGATGAAGCAAATAATAACCCTTTGGAAAGACTAAACCAAACCAACCTCTGAAAAGTAAGTCAAAAGAACAGCCTGAGATGTACAGCATCAGAAATGTTAAAGGAACACAATTACAGATGTAGAGAATATGAAAGTGTTAAACAATATACATGCCACAAAATCTGAACATTTTGACAGATATGATAGCTAAAAAGTTCATTGCCAAAATGGACCCAAGAAAAATCAGACCAACAGAACGAACCAATACTGAACAATGTGAAAAAGATGTTATACTCTTCTCACCAAAAGTCTACCAGACCCAAAGGGGTTTTATGAGTAAAGTAGGAATAGATCCTATTACTGAAATTGTTCCAAAATATAGAAAAAGAATGGATTCCAAATCATTGTTACAAGGCTAGCAAACCCTGTTTTCGAAACTGACACAGCACACTTACATGTGTGCATACACGCCTCTAAACTAGAGATCCACCACTTTACAGATAAAACCTAGTAATATATTAACCTAATAAGGCTTATCACAGGAATACAAGAATAGCTATCAGGAAGCCTAACATAATTCATGTAATCACAATCATCTCATATAAATTTTATAAAATTCAACATCTTCAAAAAATGGTAATTTTGTATCTTCTTAAAGAACTAGGATTAAAATGTGTTTTAATTCAACAGAGTATAAAAGGGTACAACAAGAAAGGCTAAGAAAATCTTAAGGAACAAAATAAAGAAGGGACATTGTCTTCTCATATGTTGTAATTCATGTAACATTCAAAGAGTTAATACAATTGCTGCAGAGAATAACCACAATGCCTGGACCTATTAATAATTTGACAGGTGTGTGCCATATTTTTATTACTATTATGACTACTTCTCTTCCATCTTCCCATTCACAGAATTCAACACCTGCACAATACCATATTGAAGGCCACACCTGAAAGAACCATTTCCTAACTTCTGACCTCACAAGAATACAGCAATAAACACCTTGGAGTGCACAACGGCCTTAAAAACACACATACGGGTCCTTCAAGACTCCCTCGCACCAGCCCCACTCAGCTGCTGGTGCCAGTGAAGAAGGCAGTCTGCCCAGAGAAAAACTGTCCACCTCCAGCACCTCACCTGGTCAGACCTACGACCTTTAGAAGCCAAAGCCGAAATGAATTCTGGACATCACCTAGTGTAGCTGGAGCTTTCCCACAGTTATCAAATGAGACACCAAGCTTCTCAAATGTATACCACTGGAATGATGTTTAGTTTCTTATGCTTGTTTAAGGATTGAAGTTTATTTGGAAAATTCTAAATACTTTTATAGGTATAGAAATGTTAGCTATAGAAATACAAAACTTCGACTGTGTTCAGGAAGATGTATTAATGATTAACAAGAATTTAAAAGATGCTTATGTAAAAAGAACAAGAAATTGTTCAAAATGTCCCAACTGAAAATAAAATCTCCACTTAGCCACTGGGTAAAACCCCATCTAAGATCATTTATTATCACCTGATTCAATCACAGAATTCTATAGCTGCCTAGACTGGAGTTTCAATAACGGTGAATTGTTGAATATTATGGACGTCTCTATCCAAACACTTAAGACAAATCATCTCGGGCGGTTTCAAATTAAAAGCTTGTAAAATATGTAACCTCTCCTAGTTTTTGCAATTAATAGGGTACATCTGCAATTAGCCTGACTTACTGAATGCAGTGCTGTTGTCATTAAAAGATGTCTGTGAAAGTGCTGCTGTTATTATGCAGGCTCAAGAGACCAATCCCTCCTAGAGGGCAAACAGTGGACTGGTGGAAAACAACAGCCATAAATCACACTGTCAGGCGGCGGGGAGAGGAGTGAAGCACAGGCACATGAAGGCCATTCACGGGAAACACAGTACAGCCGCTTCCTAGGCAGGATTTACTGCACCTGTAATTAATTAAAATTTCCTTCAAGCTAAATCTTTAATAAACAAGGATTTGTGCTGACAATAACGGAAAAAAAAAGGAGCTCCAGCAATACAATTTTACAACATACCTCGCAGAACAAGCCCAGCATCTATCATGTCGTCTATCAGGTGTATACACTGACTCTAAAGTTAATAGGAATGATACCACTTTGCATTCTACTATAATTCGTGCACTTAGAATGTGTCTGAAATATTTCAGATGCTTGAGGAATAATGTGGCTTTTTTTTTTTTTTTTTTAAGTTTTTTACTCCCGTCTAGCTTTTTAAAAAGCCAAGTCTTTTTGCTCTAGTTTCAGAAAACAGGCCCTTTTAAAGAACGTCATGTTGACGGGAGTTTCATTGGATGGCCAAGTTTTTGTGTTATTTGCTTTTCTTTTTTTTTTTTTTATGCTGAGTCTCACTCTGTCGCCCAGGCTGGAGTGTAGTGGCGTGATCTCAGCTCACTGCAAGCTCCGCCTCCCAGGTTCACGCCATTTTCCTGCCTCAGCCTCCCAAGTAGCTGGGACTACAGGTGCCTGCCACCACGCCCGGCTATTTTTTTGTATTTTTAGTAGAGACGGGGTTTCACCATGTGGCCAGGATGGTCTCGATCTTCTGACCTCGTGATCCGCCCGCCTCGGCCTCCCAAAGTGCTGGAATTACAGGCATGAGCCACCGCGCTGGGCCATTATTTGCTTGTTTAACCACACCTTGCACTTCACTGTTTCCATTTGGGGCCAAATGTATCTGAACACGAGAATAAAAGGTCTAAGTGATGTTGAATGACCACGAACATTTTTGATAAAGTACATGTGTACCTTCTCTCTAGACTACATATTGAGTCAATCAGCAATGCCTCATTCAGCATCTTTTCTTTTCCCAACCTCTGAGGTGAAGAGGCCTAAATATTCTTTGTTTCTAACAACAGCAAGAATTACCTGAGTAAATGTTACTATTAGGGACCACACTAAGCTCTTCATACATACATATTAACCCAAAAAGTTCTCACAAGTTTACCAAAACTTACCCATTTTACAGGTGATCAAATCAGGCTCAGAAAGGCAAGTGACTCGCCCAAGCTTGCAAAGTTATAAAACAGGAGATCCAAGATTCAAACCCTGGTCTTACAAGCACAAAACCAATGCACTTAAAACTGCATGCTCTTGTTGCTTCTCCCACTCTTATGCATCTACATGTCATGAATTGATTAAAATGAAACAAAACTCTTTAAATTACCTAAGATGTTACAGAACTACTAGAGCCTACATAGCAAAAAAAGGTAGGAGAGAGACAACTGTTTCAGAACATAAGCAATGTATCATTATATATCTTGCAATAAATTGAAAAAAGGATCCTTAATCATTAAATAAACTTTACAAGACAGTGCTAAAGATGTCACCACCTACTGTGAATTATGGGATAGGTATCACAAGACTGCCTTCTTTCATATCTCTTCATTTATTATATTTTCTTTCCCCAAGAAAACAGTTGGCTTTTTAAGATTAGTTAAAAACATCCTTTTTTTTTTTTTTTTTTTTTTTTTTTTGAGCCCTAGCAACATCAAACACCTGAAATGCAGTGTTTCTGGTTGTTTTAACAAATAAATATTAATCAACTCACATGAAAGTTGCTCTATACTAGAAAAAAAGATCACAAAATATAATGAGAAAAAGGAAATCTTGAACTTTTATTAAATGAGATTTCAAGTGACCATTAAAAGAGATTCAGAAGCCTAAAAATTTCTTTATCAGATTTCATCATTTGGTTGAAACTATCAGCTGTATATTTTTTTGCATGGCTGCTGGGTGTGCATTTGACAATGCTAAATTATGCTGCCAATCAAAGACTATTAACAAAGATAACATAGCATCAAAGGGTGAGAGAGGTGGGAAGCTAAAGGGCAATCTGGGGAAGAAGAATGGTAGATGTGCTCAATTGAGAAATTGACCATTTGATATTTTTCCAAATGAAAAATTGTCATTTTTTATTTTTTATTTTTTTTGAGACAGAGTCTCGCTCTGTCACCCAGGCTGGAGTGCAATGGCACAGTGTAGGCTCACTGCAATCTCCGCCTCCTGGGTCCAAGAGATTCTCCTGCCTCAGCCTCCCAAGTAGCTGGGACTACAGGCACATGCCACCACACCCAGCTAATTTTTGTATTTTTAGTAGAGACAGGGTTTCACCACGTTGACCAGGCTGGTCTCAAATCCCTGAGCTCGTGATCCACCCGCCTCAGCCTCCCAGAGTGCTGGGATTACAGGTGTGAGCCACCATGCGTGGCCACTTTTCAAAATTTATGTCATACCAGCTACAACAAAGCATTTGGAAAATAAAGATAATCTACTTGAATGATAAAACAATTCTGGCATTATTATTCTTTTAAATATTTCTAAACAGAAATTCTCTTCCCTTCCCTGTTCTGTCCAGCATTGAATGTCCCAATGTCAGAGTACCATTATTAAATTTAGACAGGACAGCTGGTGGGCACACAAAGTTCATCCACTGCAAAAAGCAATCACAGCTGATAAGGAAGTCAGGCATTAGATGCTGAGTTAGAGGACGAATCACCATAAACAGAACTTTTGAAATATGAATAAGAAACACAGGCTCTATTGTAATTTAACACACATGTAAGCCAGCAGGTATGCATGTGTGGTGACAAAGATCTGCACATACAGAGAAGATTGAAGGTGCAGAGGAAGCAAATACCCCTTCAGTAGTTGAATCCAGAAACCAAAATTATGATCTTAGAAATGTCAATATCAAGGCCTATGGAAACTATTAATACATTTTCAATGTGTCATCACCACAAATAATAAGCCAATATTAACATTAATAAAAAGTAATAAACATAGCACTTCTAAGTCAAGAATATAGTTTGATACATATAAAAGTATATCTTTTTGATCTTTTGCCTAACAGTTTACATCTTTAGTAATCTAAGATACTTTATAATGGAAAAGGAACAGTAGGAAGAGAGTTAAGGGTTTGAATAAAAACACAAGAAAACTGTAATCCTGTTTTTCCTCAAAAGTTAATTAAGAATCTTCAAGTTAAAGTCCTTGGTAAACTGTAAAACACTGAAAAAATTATTAACCACCATATGTATGCATGCGTCTGTGAAGGTAAAACAACCTCAGAAGGTAAAACCACTGCAACCAAAAGTGAAATATCTCTTCTTAAAAGTTTGCCCTCCAAAGTTAAGGAGGCAAATTTCACCAAGTTCACTGTCAATTCTATTTCTATAATGAGTCCATGTATGTGGTTTACATGAAGGCAGTTCTTCAAACTATGGTGACAAAGGAACTGGAGGCAAGCTATGATCCAGGTAAAGGTGTCCAATACGCACACTTTACTACTCCAAAAGAAAATGAAAGGAAGAACATTTTTTTTAATTGCCTTTATAAGACAAACATCAGCTAACGAGTCCTGCTACAGGATTTTGCAGTACAAAACACTAAGAGATGTTAACAGATAACAGAAAAGAAAAAGGAACCACAAATGCTTTACAAGGATAGTGACAGGATAGTTTAAGGTTTGACAAACCATTTAAGGTTTGACTAGACAACAGTCTAAACTGTTATTATCTTCATATTGCTAAAAATCACTTCTTTTTATAACTCACAGCATTTACCCTAATTTATTAATTATCTTATCCAGTTTATTTTCCACTTATCACTTAAAATTCTGGGCAAAGTCAGTTGGTTTTAACAATAACAGCGTAAGCAAAATTCCATCTTGCCTTACTTGTGCTACCAAACCATAGATTTTTCTGAGTCACTTCTATCAAAAGCTTGCTTTTCCATGAACACAAAACAACAGGAATCCTGGAGTTTCATGGTCCCCGTGCATCTGACTCCGTGAGGCAAACACCCCATAGCCCTTGCAGCTGGCACTGCTTTCCTGGGCCCTGAGAACTCACTCAAGAGCTCAGAAGACTCAGGAAAGAAAGAACTAGCTCCTAAGAGACTGCTGCTTCTCCTCAATAATGTAACCTGCAAATTCACAGTGAAACTGTGTGATTATTATTTATTCAGCAAATGCTTAGGGGTCACCTGGGATACAAAAATGAATCAGACACAGTCCCTACTCAACAGAGCTCACAGTCTGGATGGTTAGAGAGATGAGAAGAAAAAAGGAAGAACACAACGTATCTATGCTACCCACAGGTGCACAGATAAAGCTCCTTTTCGATACTGTGATGTTACCAAACTATAAGTGAAGAAATACAACTGTCAATACATGACGATCAAGGATTCGGGGAACAAAACACAACTAAAAAGCAACAACACTTGGGAAATTCTCAAAATGGAAGGTTTCTTCTTTCACTCATCAAAAACAGATTTTTTTTTTTTTTTTTTTTTTTTTTTTTTTTTTTTGAGACAGAGTCTCACGCTGTCGCCCAGGCTGGAGTGCAGTGGCCGGATCTCAGCTCACTGCAAGCTCCGCCTCCCAGGTTTGCGCCATTCTCCTGCCTCAGCCTCCCGAGTCACAGGGACTACAGGCGCCCGCCACTTCGCCCAGCTATACAACAGATTTTAAATGCATATTAACAAATGCATTTACCAATTAAGAGTTGTTATTCTACTTCCATATCCACTTTCCTAAAACTGTTTAAAGCCGCTAATGCCCAAAGTCTCTCCTTACTGGACGCAGCCACCTGTGCAACCAGGCTTGTGCCCTGTCTGAGATGATTCATATTTCACTGGACAACAGGCATGTCACAACACCACCACAGACTGTTGGAACAATAAGACCTATATTCATAACTGTTCTGAAAACACAGAGCTCTAAAGTAAGTCAATAATAAAATAAATGCACAGGAAAAAAACAGGAATATACATTTGAGAAACACATGGATCAGAGAAAAACCAAATATGTAAAATGGAGAGCATTAAAACAAAACAAAAAGGTATTGAAATATTATGTTACCTTTTTGTGGGTATAGGAACCGGTTTCATGTAGAATTGCCACTCTGAATGGAGGCCACCACGTGTGAAATTCCTTCACCCACTGATGCATCACTGTTGTTGGACAGACAATTACAGTTGGACCCAACCCCTCAAACCTGCATCCAAACGTCCAAGAAGAAAACAACCATGAAAGAGCATATACAGTCATTAACTGCTGAAAAGATCCCCCAAAACAACAAACAAAAAACTTAGTTCAAAAAAAAAATGCTAACTATGGAAATTTATTGATATTTTCTTTAAGAAAAAGTTACTGAGGTTAAAACCCAGTAAGTAAAATCTCTATAATCCCATTGATTAATTAGTGGATGTAGGTGTTAAGAGAAAACACTAAATTATATATTGAGATACAACATCTATAGTAACATAAAAGAAAATCAAACAAACATTATTTAACAAAAATACTCTTCTTTTCCCTTCTACTACAGATTAGTGAAGTTTTTATACATTAGTGAAGTGTTTCTTAACCTAACTGAACATAACAGGATCTTAAATTTGTCTGAAGCTTTATAGTCTACCAAGAGTTTTCAACCCACAGAATTTCAATCTCGTTGCCCTAGGAAGCAAGCAGGCCAGAAATGCTCCACTGATGCAGGCTCAGAAGGCTGGCATGGCACAGGTGACACGGCTACCAGGGGACAGAGGGCTGCCTAGCAGCCAGTCTTCACTTACTGCAGCCTGTCCTCACTACACCATCCTGCCTGCTCCTCCACACCACAACAGCACCATGGAGGAGCACCGCAGTGGGTGTTCTCTCCTGGGAAGCCCACACCAACCGAGTATGAGCTAGCACTGCTGTGTGGGCAGGTGGCTGGGCAGCAAAATCAAGAGCCTTAAAGGCACTCATGCATTGACCCAGCAATCCCAATACAAACATTTACACAATGGGATACACACTGGAGCATTTTTACTGCAGAAAAAGTGGGCGCTACCCATGTCCATAGAGAAGAGGGAAGCTGAATGAACTATCCCATTTCTTTAAAAAGCATGGGCCAGGGGTTAGGGGCACTGCCTGGATCTGAATCCCAGCTCTGCACACATTGTATGATCTCGGGCACACTATTTAACCTCTGGAAACCTCAGTTTTTCATTTTCAAATGGGAATAATAACAGTATTGATCTTATAGGGTTATTAAGAAGATTAAATCAGTTAACATCTGTAAAGTGCTTAAAACAGGACCATATAGAAAATACTGTGAGATTCTGTTAAATAAGATGGAATATCATATAACTATTAAAATCATTTTGAAGAAGTTAATAAACTAGAAAAATGTTCATCATAATTTTTAAAAATTACTTGTGGAAACATCCCAATTTCCTTAGACATAGGTATAGGTGGAGAAACTGGTTGTGGCCATTGTCTCAACATCCATTCCCCTCTCTCTTTTTCCTGAAGAATCAGATTTCTGCAGGTGCGCCTCCTTCTTCCTTCCCGCAGACACAGTTTATGGGACTCTGACCACTGCTTGGCTCAGGAGCAGGAATCTTGACTCATCTACAACCTGTCAGTGCATGGTACCCCCCCGAAACTCTCACTAGTCCATGAAGCTGGCCTGGCAAGACTGACCAACTTTGTAAGGAAGAATTACATTCTAGGTTGGGAGAGACTTTTCTCTCCTGGTCTTTCTAGCTACATGGACAGACCAATGGTCGCTGGGTTACAGTGGTAAGGAGATCTAATGATTACAAGGAGACCTGGCCTTAGGCAAAAATTAAAGTATCTGGGTCCCTGAAGACATCACTGAACTGCTGATCACGCTGTGTCCACAGCCTCCCCCTCTGTAGGTTTCTAGGTGTACCATACATTTGTGAATGTTTAACCCAATTTGAGGCCAGGTTTCACTTAGGTGCAGTCAAATATCCCGATACATCCTACACTGTATTCCCTGTCCGCATCTGCACTCCTCCTGCCCTTCTGGGACAATGGGACAAGTGTCCCTTTTCTTGTTTGAGACCAATCCCTTTAGCTAAGCTCTTGAGCTTATATCTCCACAAGCAACGTTGCCATTAATGTAGCCAATTTATCTTCAGTCTTGCTGTAGGTTGGGTGCCAGTCAGTGCATAAGATGAAAATTAAGCAGAAGTCAAAACTAACCATGGCAACCTCTTCAACAACACTCAGCTCATGTTACAAGAGGCAACTAAAAACTGGGACTGACTGAGGGTATCATACGGCCACATGCCTGCCTTTCACACACCTGGAACAGAGTCACTGCACTCTGCACACAGTCATCCCTCCCCTCCACTCCCTTTTCCTGCCCCACAAAGATGTTGACTGTGTGAAGCCAAATGCACATACATTACTCCACTGTATACACTATCCCCATTCTATCTCACTAATTCCCACAATTTCAATTCTAGATGCTGGTAATGCCAAATCTAGGTCTCCAGCCTAGATTTGGAGTTCACTCTTCTGAACTCCAAACCACCACACACTAGATACCTCACTGCTGATATCCCCATAGCACCACACACCATCCTCCCTTACCTGGCTGTCTCCCATCCCCATGCTTCCAAACCAATGGACAGAACTGTCTCCCACTGTCCAGGTGCCCAAATCAGAAACCTAGGCCTCATCCTTGAGCAGACCTGCTTGCTCTCCACCATGAGCAACCTACACTGAGTTCACATCATTTTTACCTCCTGAATCCTTTCAGTCACAATATCTCTCCACCTACACTGTTACTATGCCAGTTCCCAGCCACTCTCCTCTCTCATCTGGCTTATTGCATCTTCAAGGATGATTATTTCAAACAGTAAAATTTGAATTCCTCATCCCCTCACTTCAAAGCCTCTAATGGCTGCCCACTGCTCTTGGGACAGAGATTAAACACCTGGATTTGGCCTACAAGGCGACAAAGACTGACCTCTGCTCAGCTCTCCTGCCTTACCTCTCACTGCCACTATCCTAACACTTGCTCCTGTGGCCAGCAGCCCACCAGCCTGAACCGTCTTCCCTCCCTTCAATCGACCTTCACCTTGTCCTGGTTACCCTCTTACCCCTCCAGTTACCTTCTACTCAACATTCAGATCTCTAGCTTCCTCAACAAAGCCTTCCCTGTCCCTTTCTCTGTAAACAAGTTAAGGACTCTTCTTTAGTGCACTCCACATTAACCCTTTACTGTAATTGTATGAGATCCTCCCTAAACTCTGTGAGAGAAGAGATAATCTCTTCTTCAAATGATCTCAATGCCTACCTAATGGCAAGCAATTAAAGAATACTGGCTTTATTAAATTAAAACATTTTTTAAGATTGGAAGAAAATACATCAACATGCTAAAAGAGATTATTTCAGAGTTGGGGAAACATAAGTGATTTTTGTTTCCTTACTAGAGCTCAGAAATAAATGATTCCTGAACTTAAAACAATTTTTGGCTGGGTGCAGTGGCTCACGCCTGTAATCCCATCACTTTGGGAGGCCAAGGCGGGTGGATCACCTGAAGTCAGGAGTTCGAGACCAGCCTGGCCAACATGGTGAAATCCCGTCTCTACCTCAACTACAAAAATTAGCCGGTGTGGTGGCGAGTGTCTGTGATCCCAGCTGCTTGGGACGCTGAAGCATGAGAATCGCTTGAACCCGGGAGGCGGAGGTTACAGTGAGCTGAGACTGCGCCACTGCACTCCAGCCCGGGCGACAAGAGCAAGACTCTGTCTCAAAACAAACAAACAAAAAAAAATACAACTTTTACAAATAACTAAAGAGTAAATCATACAGTGCTTGAAATATTAAAAATCATCTACTATACAACTGAAAAATAATCTGTAGTTCTATAGAAAAATAACGAAACTTTGGTCAAGCCCTAACTTAAATGAGGCCTACCCTTATACTCCAACGTGACAAAATACCTGTCTACTTTGAAACTCTCCCTGCCTCCAGCTACAGTCACTACTGTCCCTGCCCTTCAACTGGGTGGAAAGGGTCAGACTACAAGAAGCCAGAGGCTACAGGAGACTCTGACACTCTTCCTACAGAGTTTCTAAGCTATGCTCCTCACCAAGACAGGGCCTCTCTAGGCACCCCTCGAGCTCCCTGAGGAGAGTGGGACTCTGCCCTGGCCCCTTCCGTGGCAGCAAGCCTTTCTAAAAGGATTAAATTCACCAGCTTCTTTCTGTCCTCCAAGGGGAATAAAAGAGTTATCATCAATATACACTTAGCAGGGATTAGGAAACAACCAATCAAAAGCTGTCTAAAATATTTTTACAACAAACTCACATTCAAATAAGCATAAATACATGTATATGTTTTTTCAAGTTATACAGTATTTTTTTCTCTTTTATAATATGCCTTCTGCAAACTGCTACATTGATGACTCACATTTTGTTATTTAAGGCTAGTATATTCTTCTGGCTGAACATCTATCTGGCATTATCATGACGCCCTTTAATTTCTGCCATTTTCCCTCTAGTAGAAAAATTTGGAGATTTTCATGCTGAGTTGAGATCTAGAAGCAGACCTAGATTGTTGCTGGACCACAGCAGGACAATCAACTCCATTAACAGTCACATCGTCAACTGAACCACCCTTTCCTAACCCCTAATTCCAGTGAGATGAACTTGAGTAATGGCTAAGTGTACTACAGTGATTAGCATCAATTACCAAACAGACTACAATTCCTTTAATCTTTGATTACCATTGATTACCTAACAAATTTAGGGCAAGCCAATAGCTCCATGGTCAAATATATCAACCTGCAAGATGGAAATCTGCTAGTCATACCCAGAACTTACCAGGAACAACAAAGTAAAATATTTATCCTTGAAAGTTTATTAAATTTAGTAACATTATAAATTAACAAAATGATATCCAAGACTTTAAAAAATTAACTGAAGTTTGAAAAGTCAAATTATTTCCTTTTCATTGTAAGATTGAGGGGCCTATCATTATAATATGAATGGCAAAGTGAAAAGAAGGTGGCGTATCTATTATGAACGGGGAACACAGAAACCAGTATAGATGTTTATTAACCATATGTAATATGCTTCTCTGTCTTCTAGAAACACACATACAAAACACATTTTTAAAAAACAACAAATCAAACTTCTTTTACCATGAAGTTTCTTGGTATCACAGAGACAGTTTCCACTTCCATGTTCATGGTCTTTAAAATTACAACACTAAAGTCATCTCAAATTAGGGCCCCTCTACAGTTTGTAAGAGTTCACAGGAAATATACATAGCCAATGAGGCAATAACAGCTCACACAGAACTTCATTTGACCTTAAGAGCTATTTTTCTGTAAGACATAAATATAGAGAACTCCCAAATTCATCTGGTTCCAGAGGAGGGTGTTATAAAGTTGTTAGGAAGATGTGGTCCAGTCTGCCCTGGTACATATGAACGGAGGGGACCACAATCCTCTGTAAATTTCCACTCATGAGGAGCCCAGGTGTTTGTGATGCAGCACCACATTCTCGCAAGCCACTTCCACCAATACCATCTTAATAAAGACAATCTGGGATGTAGTCCAATATGCCACATTATTTCATTATAGAGAAGAGGATATAAGCATTGATAGTTAATTGATTACAGCTGTTGTTCATTATTAGCCTTGACTTCATTCTTAGTAGGATTGTCACCACCCAAGAGAGCATGTTTTAATTTTTAGATCAAAACTACACTGCAGGGATGACTTTAGGTTTCCCAGGACCCGAGCATTAGACTCCACGTGAGTTTGATGATAATAGGAAGGGAAGCAAAGAAAAGAAATGGGAAATAAGAAAATCCCAGAAACCATTTTAAGGAAAGAAAGAGTCCTAGAAACCATTTGGAGGAGTTTGGGGTAGTCTAGTTACCAAAAACACCCAATAGAGTTGCAGAAAACAAGCCAACCAAAGAGCTTATTTGAAACAGAAAAAGCATTTTATTTGAAACAGAAAAAGCATATTAAAAAAATAAAGTCATAGATAAGACAACACTAAATGCCCACTTTCAACTTCAACTTTTCCTTAGATCTGGAATGTTTTCACATGCTTCCAAGCAAAATGTAATAGAATTCTCATATTTGAAAAAAAATCCCCTGCTTCAATACAACTTCCTTGTAACAACAACAACAACAAAACGTTTAGCATTTAAAAATCTCCGAGTGTTTTCTTCTTCCTACATCTATATAAATGCAACTGGGGTTCTAAAATATTCTAAAACTCCAAACACTCCTCACAGAAGTATTGATCTGCTAACTTAACGAAAATAGTTAGAAATAAAAAGAAAACACTAAACTCTAGAGACTAAAGAAACAAGATCTTGACTCAGTTTATGGTTCATATTTGGCTCTCTACTAAGCATTTTGCTGCTGATGAGCTGGAGTGTAGGAAGAACTTTGGGCACTTGCTGACTTCAGGCACACTGACACTACTGTAAAGACTAAAACATATGTAGTGAGTGTCTGAGGTTTCCAGGGCACACCCCTCTAGCAAATTCCTTGCTCTTACTCTTTACATAAGCCCTGAAACACAAGGAGCTTGGACTTATCTGGGTTCAATATGATGAAATATCCTACATAATTTACCTACCAATATTTTTACCAATATCAATTTCTATAAAGTCAATTTACAGTTTAAATATGGAAGTGCTCATAGTACTTTCTTTCAAAACAAAGTATTTCAGTCCTACCACACCAAACAGATTAAATGCTTATTCTTCTGAAATACAAAAGCCTTAATAGTTTATTTAAATTTCTAAAGAGAAGAAAGATTAACATCTAAACACAGTTTTCTACCATTTTAGGTAGTCACTTAGGTTTTGGCCTTAGAATTTATTACATAAAGTTCATAGATTGGGAAAGGCAGAAAGCACAAGGATCAGACAAGTAACTTCATTCAAAAACAAAAGAGAGAGCAAGCTATCTAGAAATGCTATCATGTACACTCATTATAAAGGAAATTAGGGAGAATGGCTTCTTCAAAGCTCCAGCTCTCCCCATGAATAGACTTTGTACTTACTGTAATGCTCACCTGGTCTCCTGCCAGAACAACTATTTTAATGCAAAATTTAATAAATGGAACTAAAGGTATTATGTCTAATTTAAAATTCCATATTGTGTAAACTATTGATATTAACATAATTGAGTTTGTAAACAATCCATTTGTAGAAGCTAACCTTAGACATCGTATTGACCCAAAATATCTAGTGGGGCTCATCTGCAAAATGAAGCATCAATGCCTGGAATTCATTAAAAGTGTTACATGTTTAATTTCTCCTGCCCTACAGCTCCATTGTCTCGTAAAATTTTTCCTTTGATGTCCCCCACTAAAAGAATTAAAGGAATATTGTAATTGAAATATCATCAATAATTCACAAGACCCTCCTCCACAGCAATACATCTGATGAAATATTAATTGAGCTCCACAGACTGACAGTCTGCAGAGGAGCACTTGCCTGTAATTTGAACCACGAGTCCTGATCTTGCTGTAGCTCAGACCTGCCAAGAAGGCAATTATCTGGATGGTCTTGCCCAATCCCATTTCGTCTCCCAGAATTCCTCCTGCCTGCTGGCAGTGCAATTCCCACAGCCACCTAACACCTGTCTGCTGGTACCTACAACAACAAACACCAACAAGAAAAGAGAAAATGGCAAATGGTGGATAATACAGATCATAACAGAAAGTACTCATGAATTAATCATTTGGCTAGGTTCTAGTACCAGTCAGAGAAACATGCGGGATGTGTGTTTTACATGAGTATTATATTTATAAGGTCATACATTTTTGATCACCTAGGCATAAAATCACAAATTTTTCTTTACAAAACGTTAACACATTTCTAATTAAACTGATAGATGGGGTAATTAGAGACTATTTCCTTTCTTTTCAACATTAGAAATAGCTTGCTAAACAAGCATAAACTTACTATTTTTCACTCACTTTCTGGGGGAAAAAAATCCCAAACATTTTTCATAAGGTTCCATTAATTTTTCTACAAAAAAGAGGCACTAATGTCTATTTTTTCAATCTGAATAGCATCAAAAAAGCAGGACAGAGAACACCACAACCTACAGCTTATACTGTTGAAAAGTCACTTGGTAATCATATTATCTTTTAATAGAAAAAACTAAATTTTAAGGTCATAAACAAGTCTGAATAATAGGGCTGCTCTCAAAATTAGGACATAACAGATGATTCTGTCATATTACTAGCAGATGCAAAAAAGAACAGTTTAGAGACTCAACAATACAAAAGGTCTTTTTAATATTTCAAAGCAGAAATTGATTCAGGGAGTTTACCATAGGTATAAAAAGATCATAGCTATTAAGATTTTAAATAAGGAATACGGGCCAAAGAGAAATAATTTAAACCACCCCCGGCCCCGCAAAAAGTAGAAGTTAATATTTTTCTTTCTCCATCAATGATATGTTTAATCTAAAACCTAAAAATAAAGTTAAAAAAGGAAAAATACAAAAAAATTTTCTGAGAGTGGAAGAAACACTTAACAACAGGGAATGGTATGAAGATTATATCCCAAGTTACAAAATCTAAAGCAAATACCACTTGAATTAAAAGATGATGGGTTAGATGAGGTGGCTCATGCCTGTAAATCCCAACACTTTGGGAAGCCGAAGCAGGAGGATCACTTAAGCCCAGGAGTTTAAGACCAGCCTGGGCAACATAGTGAGATCTCATCTCTACCAGAAAAAAAAAAAAGTTAGCCTGGAATGGTGGCACATGCCTGTGGTCCCAGCTACTTAGGAGGCTAAGGTGAGAGGACTGCTTGAGCCATGGAGGATGAGACTGCAGTGAACCATGATTGCACCACTGGATTCCAAACTGGGCAACAGAGTGAGATCCCATCTCTAATAAATAAATAAATAAATGATGCAAGATAAAGGATTTTTTTTTCAAAGAAAATATCAAGGCTAATGGGCTATCCATCTTAAAATAAGACGGTTTTGTTGTTTTGCTGCCCAAATATTTACTATCTGGTACCTGGTATGTCTACCTAAAATCTCATTTTGGACTTCAGCTCATTTAACTGGTTTTATTTAATCTCCTCTCAGTAAATATATCATAATTAACTTTCTCCCAGTATTTTGCAAAGCAATTCTAGAAGTTTGACTCTAGCTGTTCCATTATTACCTATTACATAATGAAAACTCTGAATGAGAATTTTGCTGCTTATTAAGTCTGCTAATTATAATACACACACTGGATATGCACCTTGGAGAAAAGGACTAAAAATCAAAACATGATGAAGTCTAGTACAGATATAAGATCATTCAATTTGGGAAGAAGGACAAATTCCAAAAATATGTGGTATATAATCAGAGAATAATGGCTACCACTTAAGGAGCCGGCTGCTGAGGAGGCACAGGCCAGGTGGTTTGGACACAGCCTCACAATCAACCTGCACAAAGGAGATTATCAGCACACTTTATCACTAGGAAACAAAAGCTCAGAATGGTTAAGTAACTTGCCAAAGGTCACATTGCTAGAAAAAAATGAGCAAGCCAGAGCTGAAATCCAGAACTGTATGTTTCCAAAGTGATTCTAGAAATGATCTAGACCAATAGTTGTCAGCCAGGGGTAATTTTTCTCCCTATGGGACATTTGGCAATGTCTAAAGACATTTTTGTTACAACTGGAGAAGTGCAATAGTAGAGGCCAAAGAAGCTGTTCAATATCTGATACTGCACAGGACAGTCCCCACAGCAACAAATTATTTAGCCCTAGACGTCAATTGTGTCAAGGTCGAGAAACTCTGATTTAGAACAAAAGTTGGTTCATGAACTGGCTACACTAGAATAATCTCAACTTTTGAAAAGGCATACTGTAAAAAGCTCTCCAAAAAAACTGATGTGCAATTAGTTTCCAGAATCACTAAATTCTAGTCGACTGACCTCTTTTTTGCTGAGATACAGAACAACCATGGGACCAGCTCCTCCAGTCAGGGAACAAAATCTCCCAGTGATTATTCTAGTGTATTATTCCTACACCACACTGCCTCCATCCTACATGGGTCCAACAATTCTTTTTGCTTGGGGCTCATCAACTTAATTAAAGTGGGGAGAGTATGGAGAGGAGCAATTGAGAAATTATTAAAGGAATGGTAAATAGCATAGGATCCCTGAGAGGGGATCTCTCAGCAGGAACCTGAGAGGGGGTTAAGACAACTAGATTCTGTGTGGCCCAGGAGAGGTAGCATACAATGTGCTGGATGTTTCCTCATCTACAAATCTAATCTTTGAGGGCTTTCAAACAGCATGTGAATGTGTTTACAAGAAGATGAACAGCACTAAGAAAACGACATTAAAAAAAATATCTTACTAGGCAGCATGTAAGTCATATCTCCAGTAGGATCCCTAACAACTAGGGATAGTTACAAAGACAGCAAAGAGTGGCTCTTTCTTTCCACACAACACATGAAGGCCCTCAGATGGTATTTAAAGGAAATTCACTTGCAGATTGAAAGCACTAGCCACACAGCTGATAGATGGTATACAGAGCTGGTATTGCTAGATGAGGAGTAAGCGGCCTGACTCAGGTTTCAGCAGTGCCACTAACTGACTTTGGTTTTATTGCTTTACCTTCCTAATAATAAACAGTGTAAACCAATTACATAGTTTAAATAAAAACATACTATAGAATCTAGTTTTCAAAATTTTTGAAAAGCATATAAAAATTACTTTTTAGGGACAGTTAAAGATTTTTGTGAACATAAAAAATTTATTCTGCTATCCCCTGAGACTGAGGCATCACTATGTGACCACAGATAATTGGTGTGCATTGGCATTGCCACACTAACCCAAGATTGCATTTACTAGTGTGGCTGAAGGTAAGTTCAAAAGATTGAAGTTTGTCATTTGACTGCTAAATTAGATAGACAAATGTACTTGCTGGGCAAACTTTCAAAACAGAAATTTAAGTGTTAAACATTATCTTGCAGAAAATAGTACTTAAATGGCTAATTGTACCTTCTGACTCCCTTGTGTGCAACTCTATACCCTGTTAATTCAATTCCATAGAATGCAGTAAATACAGTAAAAAATACATCTACAGTTTAAAATTAAATTGGCCCCGCTAAAATGTAATCATAAAAGAAAAATGGAGACTATCAATCCTGTTAATTTTTTTCATGCAGCAAAAGAAAATGAACAGAAGTTTTATGACATTTATAAAATATTTAAAATCCTGTTTTTGCAGAGATTAAAAAACACATTACTTTCCAGGAATGTGCAATTAAGACTAATTTTTAAAAAACAAATATTATTTATATTAACTACTATAGAGTTTTGTCAATACACTGAATCCTAAATACTTTTAGTAAGCAAAGTTTAGTTCTATTAATTGTGAAATATCTTTGCTAGAAAATCTGACATTTATACAAAAATGTAGACTCAACTTGATCCTTGAGGATATTTGCCAAATCACTTACTACACATACACAGAAGCATCCTGTCTTTTTAAAATCAATTTAATCTACAATTTGGGTGTTCCTTTTGCTAGTACAACACTGATGATATTTGGCTTGTTTCTTAATAAACAATCACTTTAGAGAAAACAAAAAGAGTTGCCAATAAATGTGGCCTTTATTTACCTTTCCGTAGTTAATTTTCATTTGGGAGAAGCAATAAACAAAGCAACCACCTCTCTGCAAATATTACTACAGATTCGGATTTCAACTTCTGCATGGCTGTTCCTCTGTCCAGTTAAAGCAATCACATCAAGTCACTTTACATCTTCAGAGTTTGGCTTTCTATAATGTTTAGTGGGATAAAATAACTACTCTTCGCTCTCCACTCCCCCATGGAGAGAAAAATTAAAACTGTAATATAAGCTCTTTGAGAGAAAATATAAAGAGCATGCTGTTTTTAAGTAAACTTCTTCCACAAGTTTAGGGCATGGCTGACAACTGAATCTATAAAGGAGACTAAACTTAATCATCTCAAAGAAAGAACTTTGCATCCTGCTCCCAACTACAAATTGATTATACAAAAGAGACAGAAAGAAGCTATGTAATGGTTTAACTTCCTACATGCATCTAAGAAGCCTTCCTAAAGTATCTTGTTAAGTAAATCCCAGGAGTGATGAGACTGAAAATGTTCCTCAGTATTTACATTCATCACGGGAGACCGGCCAGCCCTTAGAGATAACATGCACGCATCTATCAGGCAGCATCCGGTCATCTCCAATGCTTGGCCACTTACACATGAAACCTGGCTTCAGATAGCAACTTAATCGTCAAGGTGTTGCCCATATCTTCTCTTTTGACATTAGAATGACATCCTACATAAAATATTTAGATGCGCATTTGGTCAGCTCAAAAATATTATACCCTCAGGTACAATATAAGACACTCAAAACATCTCAAAAGTTTTTTATTCCCACATATAAGAAAAAAAATCCTTCCCAATATTGATTTTAATATGCAACTCTTCCTATTAATCTGATTTAAGAAATTAGGAGTTTGGCACCTTAAAATTACTAAGAACAAAAAAATTATTCAACATAGATGACTTTTAAATGTGTTGCTTTTAGTCTGCTGAGACAGGTCCATATAGATTCATCAGTTTACAAATATACCCAATGTACACTTTAGTCAATTTATTATCATCCAATTTTAATGAACAGCACGTGGCTATAATTTCATTTGACAGTATCTGTTTTTGCAATAAATTGCTGCAAGTATCTTCAGGGCCCACAGGTAACTACTATGTAATTCCTAAAATGTTAATTTGTACATAATGACTTGACAGCAAATAGAAAGGAAAGAACACATGGTACATACTTAAAAAGCTTTTTGAACAGAAAACCTGGCACTTTAAAACCTTCGTCAAATTCAGCATCGCTTTCCTCAGAATCGTCCTCCAGCTTCAGATGTTTCTCTTTGTCCTGCAGTCTCAGTTTATTCCATCTCCTACCATAAAAATAAAGATCATATTTCCATTATTTTGATCACAAGATAGATTTAAAAAGATAGCTCCTGATAATGTACAAGAAAAAACGGGCAAATTAAAATGGTCTCTTAGGTTAATGCTGCCATTATTACCCAAAACACGGATATTCAAAGAGGAAAAACAATTCTCTTCTCCGGCCATCTCAATTCATTTCTTATGTAAATTATTACAGCTGCTCTAGAAATATTTCTTTAAGGTCTCATTTCATTATCAAAACTACTTTCTCCTCTTCTGGCATACCCTAAGGGAAAATTTCTCTGCTAGTTCGTAATACATGAAATTAGTTCTAGAAAAGATTCAGTAAAAATTTCAATATAATTGAGTGTCTTCACAACAGCAATACTATATAACAAAAAATAGATTTTATTTATAATTACTGTTTCTGTGCTAAAGATATGATAATCACAGCATAAAACAACAAAGTACCTTAAACATTAAGCAAATTTTGGGTCAAAAATCACTGAATCAGGTTCACATTACTGATTACTTAACTGGGGGAAGAGGCATCAACAATATATAAGCACTGATAGCGCTACCACTCAAAAAAATGTGTTCACTGAATAAAATCTAAGTTACAAATTTAGTAATATACTTTCAGATATAAAATAAGGCGAACACTTATATTTCAGAAGGAAATATATTTCATCTAAATATCTGAAAGTCTTAGCAACACACCAAGGTTGTGGAGAAGGTGCACCCATTTAACGAGACTAATTTTGCATTTATATAACTATAATGGACCCTAGTTGTCATGAGTGGGGGAAAAAAGCCTCAAATTCTATTCACTTTCAAAATAAAAAGATGACTTTTTTCATTTGGCATGGTGCAACTGATGCTCTGAATTTCACAAAATGGTGGAAATGGAATAAAACAATAATACAGAGAAATGCTTTCAAACTACAATTAAAAAAAAAAACTCATAGGAAGTAAGAGCGGCAACACATATACAGCATTTATCTGCCACTGACTATGCAAGAGTAAGAGAGAATGTCTGAGGCAAGGCAAGAGAAAATGAAAGGGTAAATCACATGCTGTGAAAGGTAATTCACAGGCACACATGCTGCCTGGTCAGAGGTATGGTGTATTGTCCATTACAAAACCAGCACAGAGCCCAATGCTAGTATCTGAGTAGCTGCTGGTGGGCCTTAAAGCACATCCTCTGATAAACTCTTGCCTTGTTGAAAATTTCAACTCTTCAAGGTAACAGAAGGAAGGGCTAGCTGAAATTTACTTGTGATCAATAAGAACTGGTGATCTGAAATTGCACTGCACGGTAGTAAAGGACCTATAAATAAGATCAATGAAGCACTGTTGGTCATTTCCAGAGAAGAACAGCAAATGGAAGAGGCAATATATGGCCAAGTCAAGGAAATAGCTATCATCTGACAATAGTTTAATAACTATTAAAAAAAAGTGATTATAAAAACTATTATAAAAAAGTGATACTCTTTTTATAGAAAAATTTAATGTCCTTTTTGTGCTTAACTTCTAAAGGTAATCTCTTCTTCTCCACTGGTATTTTTCTTCCTTAAAAATTACCACCATGCAATGGACAAAATGAAGTATCTCTAGGTGGCTATGAGTCTTCTGGGTTTCATGTTATTTACAAATTTAGTTAAATGCAATGGTGTACAACAACCGTTCTTGACAGGGTGCAATTCTGTCCCTTCAACCCCACCCTGGGGTAATCTGACAATGCCTAGAGATATTCTTGGTTGTTACAACTGTGGAAGGAGTCGGGAGGATATACTGCTACTGGCATCTTCCATGTGAGTCCAGGTATGCTGCTAAACATCCTACAGCACACAGGACAGCCCCCATACCCCCCAGTAAAAAGTTATCAAGTCTGAAATGTCAATAATGTCAAAGCCAAGAAGCCCTGGCATGTAGGTATCCCTTACTATCAAAACTTAGAAACTGAACAGATATACTTTCCTGATACACATATCTGAATTCTTGCTACTCACTCTGTAATTCAGCAATCAAGCAGTTTACATAATGAGAGAGTCCTCAGTATCAAAACTATGAACTTAGAGCCAAACTTCTGCATAACAAAGGATACTTGTATTTAGTAAACTTGTGCATAACATAAACGCTGGAAGAATCACAGCCACTTAAACATACTTCACTTTGCAATTTCTCCAAGATAATGTTACAGAAGGAGAAATAAAAACACCAGAATATATTGCCTTTAGAAGTCTGGCACAATAAGGTCATTAAATATTTTACATACAGGGTATCACTTTTTAAACTTCATTGATATATGACGACCATTTCCTTAAGACTTAGCCAGTCGATCTTTGTGGTTGTTAAATTTCCCACCACATCACTCTGCATCGACAAGATTCAGCTTCCTCCTCCTCCCTCCCTCCTAAAATATATAGGCATCTTGTCACCACAGAACTCAGCACCTAGGAAACCACATAAGCCACTACAGAAATGATTGTATTCTAGTGCCTTCCGCTTCATAAAGAAAGATGAAAAGGGCCAAACATTTATTCAGTTTGGCTAAAGGATGACTAAAAGTGGTGGGGAAAATCATTATTGCCTACAAGTATTTGTATCATTGTGAAGACAAATCGCCCCAGTAGAATTATACACATATTAAAGACAGAAAATACCACGGTTATAAAACCACACATATACAGAGAGGCGAAGAGATTCTTCTGTTACATAAGCAATACTTCCTCATGTGACTTATTGCCAAAATAGACCTGACCATCTGATAAGGGTCCACTGAAGCAGCACAGCTGAAGGTGGGGCCGACAAGTACACCACAGCACACTAGGGAAAGGGGGAGAACCAAGTTCATCTACACATACACAGAAACATGCCTTCCCCATCCCAGATGCTGCCAAAAGACTTTAAGGTGCTCTCTTTAACATGTCTAACCAGCCTGTCCTGTAGTCTGGCAGGCTGAGCAGTCTGTCTGGCCAGCAGATGTAAAGGATTCTGTATACGAACACACTGGGTTTGACATACGCAGAAATGCAGGCACAGGCACAAAAGTCTGAGCTCATACTGGCTGTAGTCAAATCCTGGTGCCATGTACTAGCTCATGAACCCTCAGCAAGTAACTTAACTTCGTCCGCATCTAACTTTCCTCCACTGTGAGATGGGGAGAACAGCAGCACCTACTTCACTGGGTTCTGGGAAGGATTAAATAAGGTGTCACATACAAAGCACCTTAGCACAGAACCTAGATTAGGAAGTGCTTAATAAACTGATACAGTATTATATATAACCACATACATTTTCTGAAATCCTCACGACAACCCTGCAGCAGATACTATTATTATGTTCACTGAGAGAAGAAACAGGTTACATATGTGGCCCAATACAATGTGCATATTGCAATGTACCCTGACTGTTTAACAGAACTATGTGAACATGTATGCCTGAACAGAAACTGTGATAGCTCATCAAATGGATGCTCAGTAAATTATTACGAATAATGTGTTCACCATAGGAGTAAAGACACCTAGTCTTCAGATGGTACCTGTTGGAATATCTCAATTTAAAAATGCTGTCACAAATTTGTAAATAGTAAACCGCCATTAGGTATGGCAGTCTTTTACGTGATAGTAACAAAAACAGATACAGATTGACTTAAAATTGGTAGGGAGTGGGTAAGAGTTAAGATCTGGGCCAAGTAAGCTGAAATCTTAAAAATTAGAGATGACCTCAAAATGTCTAAATTCTGTTATTTCAATAAGTAGACCAGTTAACTGAGAAAAAGCAGAAGGGAGCAGTAAATAGTCCAATATTTACCCTTTTAGAAAACAAATAACTTTTTCATGTTCTCTATTCTCTCATTTTAAAAAATCCACACACGTAATAGTCACAGCTGCAACCACATAAAACGAAGTGGTGGGCATGGTGTTCACTGGCTGTGTTTCTAGCTCCTCACAGAACTGCCAGATTCAGCCTGCTGTCAACTCCACTGGCAGCCAATTACAAGAGAAGCTGGGAACAAACATAAACCTAAAATTCCAGTCAGATGCAAACAGAGAAAACACTCCCTGGTTTCCCTACATTCATGCAGGAATGAGAATCTGGCCCAGGCTGTGGGGCCTGGGGCTGAGACTGCAATAATCATCTGTCAGAAGCAACTCAGACCCAGCACAACCAGTTGAACAACACTAGGAACAATGCTTCCTCCAGTTATAACCTATTAGGGTGCCTTGTCAATGGAACCCTGAAAGCTAGTTGCTGTCATTTAATATATTTTAGAAGAATTTTCAGCATTCCGAGGATGTTCAAAATAAGTAAGTGGAAAGACACAGCTAGCTACCACTGTGCCATACCATGTATGCAGCCTCCTCATCTCTGTGCACCTGCATTCCTGTACTGTCCCCAAATCCTTCCCCTAACACACATATCCACACATTCAGCAGACCTTTCATACCCTCACTCACGCAGCACCTCCACTCACAGAAACCTCCTATGACCAGCCAGATTTAGGCGTTCTGTCTTCTAAGGGCCCTCCCAATCCCGTGACATCTTGGACACACCTGGGAACTCTACTACAGTGCCCCATCAAGTATAGCATACTGTGAAATCCATACCAGTGTCCTCCACTGGAGTGGAAGCCACCTGGGGACAGACACTGTCCTAGCCATTTTTATAGCACTAGAGACTGGTATAATGCCTCCTCATGGCAGACAGTAAGTGCTGAATGAATGAATGAAGTTCATAATTGTGTAGGGAAAAGGAAGATACAGACAGAGAAGCATGGCTTGAAAATGGTCAAAAGGGATCATCCAGAAATGGGTTCTGGAAACTTTCTGTTCTATCTCATTTAGAGCCTACCTCTTGCTGCATTTCCTACTCCTTCTACCCGTATGACTTTAAAGCACTGCTCCTAGCTCTGTCCACTGGATAAAAATGGTTAAGGTTCGCTACAAAAAAATGACCCATAATGAGAGTGGCTGTAACATCAGATAAGTTCTTAATTTGA